GCTTTGTGATTGCTAGGCAGGCACTTTATTGCTTGAGTCACACCTACAGCCCCCTATAGGTGTTTTGTTCTGTCATTTCATTTACATTAGATTTATATCTCACTTTCAGTGTTATCACTATTTATTTATGTATTTATTTATTGTTGAAGACTGAAACCAGGGCCTCATACTTGCTAAGCATGTGCTTGACAACTGAATACCACCAGTCCCATTTTTCATTTTCTCTAAACTTTCTTCTCTACTTACCAATTTCTTGTTTCAATTGTCCATTTTTGTAAAATGCCACATTGCTTTATCAGTGGGAGACAGAGAGCCAACACAGTACATGAACTTAACAGATGTATGGTGATTAATCACTGACCAGAATTTGAAAGAAGTAAAATGTCTGTTCATTGATCATGATGCAATCTGTTATTTACATGGTAATTTATGAACTGAAAAGCTAATATACCGTGGTAACTGAAATTTGAGCCATGTTGTGGTAGGCTAGTATTATTTTACTAAATTTTTGTAATTGAAATTTGTATGTATGGCAACTGTACAAGACAAGAACTGCCTGTGCCTAATAGAACTAAGTTATAAAGCTTAATTTTTCAACCTGCCACTATTCCGACATATAATACCATCTGAAAGATATAACACGCTACTTTGTTGTTTCCTTATTTTATCACCTCTGTAAATTTACAAATTCAGTGTAGAATGTTTATAGAAATAAACATTCAATGTTTATAGAAATGTACTTGTAGGCCACATAGAGAAACTAAAAATTAGCCTCTTGCCTGAAGAGTGGAATATACATTGGATATATGTCAAGACATATTTTTCTGCTACTATTAACTATAAATTCAGAAATGATCATTTCACTATGTAAATGTTACAGTTTACTCATTCTGGAAAAATATACATGAACAAATTTCAATTTAAAATACAATTTTAAATCAATCAGTGAATAGAAAAAAAGAATGGAGTTTGTAACAAATTGGGTTGGATCAATTGGGAATTGATCTGGAAAAAAGGTCCTCACCTCATATATCACATAAAAATTCAGATGGAATAAAGATGCAAATATAAAGAAAAACAATGAAAATACTGGAAGAATATCAATTTATTTTTATAGACTAAGGATGTAGAAGTCTTTATAAGTAGAAAATGAAAAAAACCCAAACCAACAACCTTTATGTCAGGCCTCCAAACCTTCCTTGTGTCTTCCTTCTTCCTACCTCCCAGTTGATGAATTTTCATTTCAGCAACAAAATATAACCAGAAAACTATGTTTCTGATCTTTCCCACCAAACCTGCTTCTTTGAAAATCTTTCCTATCTTCCAGCTGCTCAGTATTATAATTTTGGGGACATTGTTGACACCTCTTTCTCTCACATTTCACAAACAAATCTTCCTAGTTTGAGCTACAAAACTGACCATTTTTTTACCACTTCCACTGCTACCCCCCTGATCCAAGTCATCAATATCTCTAGACTGTGTAATTTTAATAGTATCATAACTGGTCTACCTGCTTTTATTCTTGTCTTCTATTATCTATTTTGAAACAAGAGCTGTGGTATATTTTGAAAATTCATATAAAATGCTGTTATTCTTTCTTTTGCTTTCCACTTTACTCAGGATAAAAGCCCTAGATAATCTGTCTCCCATTACCAACCTGACCTCATCTTCTATTTTATGTCACCTCATTCATTCTGCTTCATTCACACTGGCCTCATTTATGCTCCTCAAACGTATGAGGTATACTCCCACCACAGGGTCTTTGCATCACTTACTGCAGTGAGGTCACTGCTCCATTGTTAGGGAGACTTTCTCTTAACAACCTATTTCAAAATGTAGTAATTTCCAGCAATTCTTTATCCCAAGCCTCACTTTACTTTTTGTCTTGAGATTTACCACTTTCTAACATAGCATGAACTTATTTATTTTGTTCAATGTATGTATCCTTGACTAGATATGAGTATCACATTAACAGTAGCAGCGAATTTATTTCAGGTATGTATCCCCATCACCTAGAATAGCACTTGGCATATCACACTTACAGATTAGATATTTTTTGAATGAATAAATGAGTACAAAACTTTGCCCATGTAAAAAATTTAAACTTCTACGTGATGAAATATACCACAAACAGTATTATCAGACAAAAAAAGTGACTAAGAGAAAATATTTCCAATATATGTAACAGACAGTGAATGCACCCTCATGATTTACAATATACTTTTACTAATCAGTAGAAAATATATAACCATCCCCTTCCTAAAACAATCAGGAAAAGATGCTTGGTGCCTGTGGTGTTTGCCTATAATCCTAGCTACTTGGGAGAATTGTAGTTCCAAGACAGCCCCAGAAAAAATGTTTGTGAGACTGCATCTTAACACACAAAAGGTGTGTGTTGTGGTGTGTGCCTATCATCCCAAGGGCAATGGGAAGCTTAAAATAGAAGGATCTCAGTCCAGGCTGACCTGGGCAAAAAAGCAAGACCCTATCTTCAAAATAATCTAGGCAAAAGTCTGGCGATGTGGTTGCAGTGATAGAGCATCTGCCTTGCAAACACAAAGCTCTGAGTTCAAACTCCAAGTTCAAATCCCGCCCCCAAAATGAGGCAAAGAGTATAAAGAGACAATTTAGAGAAGAAATATGGATGTACAAAGTCTGACTGGCATTCAGGACAATTTTAATACAAACAAAATGATATGCTATTTTCACCTATTAGATTGATAAAAATAAAAAATTGTTAGCACTATTTATAAAATAAGAAAATAAGAAGTGCTTTGTACTAATTATGAAAGACCACCTTTGTACAATTAATAGATGCTAATAAAAATAAAGGAATAGGGCTACTTAATAGGAAAATATGGCAGTAACCATCAATATTACAAAGGCACATATATGCTGGGTTCCAACAAGTCTGCTCAGAATTTATTTTACAGTTATATTTATCAAAGATTTAAAAAAATATATATGAAAGACCTGATTAAGAATTATCAGTGAGCCATATGTTTGTAATCATGAAACCACAGAAACATCTTCAGTGTTCGTTCATAATAGGTTAAATTATTTCTGGTGAACCCCCACAAAAATGCTATATAATTATGGAAAAGAATAAGGCATATATGAGCTAATAAAGAGTTTACCAAGATCTACTAAGTGATGGTGGCTACACATACAGTTTACAGTATGATTTATGTGCATAAATAAAAATATAAAAACATACCTGAATTTGGGAGATGTACCATCATTTCATATATCAATAATTGAGGGAAAATGCTTTCAAATTTAACTGTAATATGCTTTCCATTCTAAGATGCACTTTAAAACCATAGATTTTGGATGTTAAAATGAGCCTTGAAATTGATGAAATATCATATGTGCGTGCATATACATGTATTAAAACCCCTTTTCTAGAGGAGTACATGAGAAACGGCTAAAAGTAGTTACTCTGGGGTTCAAGTGGTAGAGCATCTGCTTTGCAAGTGTGAAGCCCTGAGTTCAAAACCCAGTCTCACTCCCTCTCAAAAAAGAAAAGAATCTATCCAGTATACATAATTAGACACGTGTCCACAGGTAGAATGCATAATGGCAAAGAAAGTTGTCTAAGATTTACTGAGAAGGGAAATAATGTACGAGTAATAAAGCAAGGTAAAGAACTTTGAGCACACTATAACTGTGCATATATATAATGTATAGATAAAACAAAATTCTACATGAATATATATATATGTGTGTGTGTGTGTAGAAGAAAAGATTCAACTTTATAGAACTACTGACAATGGGCATCTGTAGGGAACAGAATGAAAAAAAGAGGTTAGGGCATGAGGGAAATTTTTCACTTTTACTCTTCGTATGTCTATATTTATTTTTCTATTTGTGTTTTTGAGACAAGTTCTTGTTATGTAGCTCAGGCTGGCCTGGAACTCAGTATATATCCCAGACTGGCCTCAAACTCTTGATCCTCCTGACTTAGGCTTCTAAGTGTTGGGTTTACAGACATGTTTCATCATGTCTGGCTTGTACTTTCATTTTTTAATAAAAGTGCAGATTCATGTATTACCGGTAAAATCTAAATGCAACAAAAATTAAAATTTACTTCAATAAATTTTATATTGGTAAGAATATACAGAAGCTTCTCTGAATTACCTCTTATAATAACTCAATCAACTGGACAATTATACTATAGTCTTTGTATACTATCAAAAGGAAATTATGTTTAAAATACAGCTCAGTAAATTCTTATTTCAGTGGGAATTTTCAGTACTTCCATGCAAGTTGAGTATCAGGATTCCTTTTCTATTACTCCTTAACTGTGGTCTGCCTGCATGATTAAGGGAGTTACCTGTTTTACATGGAACTAATCAGTTAAGAAATTCCTGCTGTGTTCAGTGGTTCTAAATAAGTTCTAATTTTTTTGAGACATGAGGTCTTTCTATATAGTCCAGGCTAGCCTGGAACCTTCAATCTTTTACCTCAACTTCCTGAGTGCTGGCATTACAGGCATGTACCACTGTGCCTAAATTTGATTACTTGAAAAATACCATCAAAGTTTTCACAGTGACAAGGAGAGTAGAGGACTATGTAGCACTGAACAGAGAACCACCTCAGGAATGTGGTGGTTCATTAAATACAAAAGTTATTTGTTTATAAATCTTTTCAAATTAACTAATAACAATATTAGGAAAATGATGAAAAAAAGTCCACCACTAAAAATAGAAAGCCAAAACCAGGCAAAAATATGCCTTTGATTTATTGAAACATACTCAGAAGTTAAGTTAGAGGAAAAAACAAAGAGACCAAAAAGGTTTTTTTCTTTGTTTCTTGGACTTGGTGCAAAGCTTAAAACGTTATCTTCTCACAACCTAAGAGAAAAGAGAAGGAACAAATCTCTTACCCAGAACATACTATGTCCTTCTAGTTTGTTTAAAATAGAATGAGAAATGAGCATACTGTTAAAGAAAAATCACAACTGCTCAGGCATCAGACATATGATAGAATATGATTACCTTTGGACCAGGAAGACCTGGAAGACCAATGCCTGAAACACCAGGATCACCTTTGTTTCCTTTCTGTCCAGGTAATCCTGGGGAGCCAGGCTGTCCAGGAACTCCAGGAGGTCCAGGGGGCCCTTCCATACCCTGAGGGCCTGTTGAAAATATGCAACATACAATATTTGATAAAATATTATTTTCTCATGTTATATTTAAGATGCATATGACCAAGCAAAAAGATTTTTTAAACCTCTGCAAACTCTGAGATATATAATAATGAGCTTTACAACAAAGCCTATTTTTTAAGAAGTTTAATTGAAAGGGATACAGCTGGAGAGCAGGCACATTTATGAATTCCAATTTTGGAAGTTTCTAAAGCTCTGTGCCTTAATTCAAATAGTTTTGTAATGAGAATTCTACCCATTGATTAGACATTGTCTCAACCTGATTCTACCAACATTATTAGTCTTTTTTTTTGCAGTTTTGGAGATTGAACCCAGAGTCTCATGTTAGGCAAGTGTTACATCCTCAGCCCCCACTCTAGTCTCTTTTCTGGTAAAAGGATAGCGAACCACCTTCCATTAATGAAGTTGAATATTTGAAAGTTTTTCATCACTCACCTGGAAAACCCATATCACCTATGTTTCCTTTAAGTCCAGGCGGTCCCATAAGTCCTGGCTGGCCAGGGAGACCAGGGTTACCCTTGGGACCTAGAAAAGTGATTTAGTAAAATTAAGACAAATATGAGCAAGCAAGGAATTTAAGGGTTAAATTTTGTTATATGATTAAAGTTCACAGATATAACTCAGTACGAACAGGTAAAGAAATCTCCTTAGGAACGCATTACAATATAACTATGGTAATAGAAATCTCCTGCTATGACTTTATGAAAGAGAGGGGAAAAATCATTAGAACACCTTGTTTCTTCTCCTAAAACTATTTAATCACCTGATGTTCTTACTTGGTGCATACGTATAATTACCCTTGCTGTATTTTCACAGATAAATACAATATAGTAAGTCTGTTTTTCAAACACTCAGGAATGGCCTTCCCATATAGAGCCTGATTATGTGAGACCAGGAAGAGCAAAGATGGTAGCCTGTCATGACATATCCCTAGTACATTAGGCCAAAGAGAGATCAGGGTTGAAGGAAAGGTACTAGACATTCACCCCTCACTGACCAAGCTGCTCTGTTTGTACATTCTTCCTAGAATTTAGGTGTTTGAGCTCTGTGGTGTCACCTAGGGGCTTCCCAAGGATCACAGTGTTACCTTAAACATTTTTTTTCTTTTTTCTTTCACAATGACTTCTAACTTGGGAAAGAGAATGCAGAAGATGTAAGGGAGATACAAAGAAAGGACTTATCTTTCTGACTATACAAAGGCAATGTGTTGTGAAGTCAAGAACAAATAACTGACCTTCAGGGATCTTACATGGATGAAGACCAGTTGCTCTTTATTTCTCTAGGGGCCAAACTAAAGGAAAATGACTTAAGAAGCAGCAAGAGTGTTTAGTGAGGAATAAAACCAAAAAACTGTCTAATGTAAGGGTGATTAGTGTTATAAGAGAAAACCAAAGAAGGCTGTGAAATTTTCATCCCTACAAAAATTTTAAAATAACATTAGCATCCATCTGTTTTACATGTCTTAATGATTGACTTGTCTCAAGGCAAAAAAAATTGCTAAAGGTAAATTATTTAGCATCCTACCAGATAAGTGTCTTATTTGTATACGTTGCAATGTATGGAATAAAGCACACCTTTCTTGAATCATACTTTGGTGCATACCCTATTGCCACAGAAAGACAAAACTGAATGAGCAAAGCAAAATATCCTAAAAGTCTTGTCTGTTGAAATATGGCCACATGGCAATATTTTGTCAAACGTGAGCTCCATATTTTAGTAGCTACCCAAGCATATTACCATGACCAGAATAGTGTTTCCAGGGTTCAGCTTCAGCCATCCAAATGCTACAAGTGGTCTATCATACCTACCTGGAGGCCCTGGTAATCCAGGTTGTCCACTCAGTCCAGGTTGGCCTGGGTCTCCAGGCAAACCTTGGTAGCCTTTTGGCCCTGAAACTCCAGGAATCCCTTCCAAGGATGAACAAAAGACACAAGTCAGACTTATTACAATTAATCATTAAATAAATTGACAAAACAGGCTATCCAAGTGTTGAACTGTAAGTGAAATGGAGGAAGTGGAGATATTCATATTTTCCTGCAATTCTGTGTCCTGTGACAACAGCTCTGCTTCTTAGAGTCCACTCAATTCAAAAAATCTATCTGACTAATATTTAAGAGGGCAAAGTTACTAGGACAAAACAACAATGGAAAGATAACTGAAAAGATGGAGCTGAACTCTGCTTTGGGTGGATACATGGGGGTGGTCACGGGGAGGATGAGGTAAACAGAGGTCATTCCTTGCATGGCCCTTAGGAGGTCAGGGATGCTTCCCAGGTCATCTACCACATCTTGGGGCAAATAAACTTTACAGTTGGAGACAGTGGCTGTCCAGCCTGTACATCCAACAAGACACGGTGCTGCTCACACATTTTATTAAGATGCCCCTGGACAGATGGGCTTTTGCTACATGGTAAAGCACTGGCCTACCATATGTGAGTCCCTGGGATTGCCCTCCAGCACTGTTAATACAAAAGCTGTATCTTGAGCTATAGCTCTACAGTAGAATGTCAATGATCAGGGTCCTTGGAGAACCAGGACCAGTGTATGGGGGACTGAATTGGTGATATTCTGATAATGTATGATTCTTAGTACTGGACTTATACTAAAAATCCTCACTTTATCAGCCACCAATAAATTCAGAGCACTCAATAAAGTCACCTTTCCTCTTTGGCCTTAGTGTCTTATAGTGCAGTACCTTTAAGAAGACTATAGTGGAAGTTAAGTGTAGTTTATAGCCCCTATTATACAGAAAGCATAGTTGAAAAAGAAAAGAAGCTTTGCAAGGAGTAAACCAAGAAAGATCTCATTTTTACTATAATAAAAACTAGGTGACCTTGACTCTTTTGTCACTACATGCAAAACTATAATAGCTTAAATTTTTTGTAATGGAAAAAAATCCTACCAAATTCTGCTTATTAAGAAACTTTAACATCTATACATACACAACATACTCACATGACTATTGATATTGATGGTTAGAATCTGAGAGTTACATACTTACTCTAAGCTGTAAATAGTAACTAATTTTTAAAGTCCCATATTGTTTAAAAAAGCTATTATATGTAGATTGAGTTGCAAGTACTTTTTAAAAAAGTATTTTCTATTGTGTTTTATATATTGATTTATGCTTATTTATATTTTATGATGTTTTGTTATGAACATGTTATACTTCTAGAAAAAGAAAAAAGTATTTTTAAAATTAAAAAACCCATGTTATACTTCACACTTTATTTGTTTTTCATAAAATAGCTATAATAACACAGTTGTCCCTAGACCTACTTTTAGCAAGTTCCCCCAGGACTGAGCTTGGTTGTTCATAGTCCAATACTTGTTTATTCTGCCAAGGTAGAATAACAGTGCTGTATTTAAAAGCCAAGAATGGTATGGATATCAAAACACTGCAGTACAACAATGCACTATTCATACCCATTTGGTATCAAGGGGAAAAAATGAAAAGGACAAGCAAATTTCCTAAACAGTGAAACCTGTTCTCTAAGTTATTGTGGCTATATATCCTTTTCTCTCTACTCCCTCTTGTACAACTTTCTGGAAAGCTTGAAGGCAATTGCTTAAATCTATTTTAAAATCCTACAGCTCATGACAGGTAAACTACAAAGAAAATACGCAAACAAAACTAAATCAGTGAAACAGTATGAATCAAGTGAAAATTAATATTAATTACCAACATTTTATGTATCTGAGTGACTTTTGTTGAATTTCTTTTTACAACTTTTCATATTGTTTAAAAATAAACTTCAGGAGCTGGGGTGTAGCTCATTGGCAGAGTACATGATTAGCATGTACAAAGCCCTGGATTTCATCCCTAGCACAAAAAATTAAACTTCATTTATACCAGAAAAAGTATTTGTGAATACATGCATTCACTCACCTGGTAAGCCAGGTTCTCCCTTCTCTCCCTTTGAGCCCAGGAGACTTGGATCCATTGGCCCAGGGGGGCCTGGAAGGCCAGGCTCTCCTTTACCACCTTTTTCACCTTCAGGGCCAGGAAGTCCTGGCTGACCCTGTAAGCCATCATCACCTAAAATCAATATGTGTGGGAAAGACAATTATCCATCCACAATTCATGCATGCAAAGGTTATTTATATGTTTGATAGTTGGGTAGGCTGCTGGCCACCCAAAACGTCTATGCTGCTTAATTATTATCTATGAATTACTTGAGTGTATACAGAATTTCAAACTCAAATAACAATCTGTGTACTTTCTGGAATTCTTTGACAATGGCAAAGTCTAATTATAAAAAAAGAAAAAATTAAAGTTTAATATTTTTACATTTTGGGCTAAACTTTTACCAGGTTTCATAACATCCAAACTAAGTATGCAACTAAATTGAAAACAAAACCTTTATTTTTATGCCATGAACAAAGAAACAAAGCACAAAGCATTTTAAAGTAGTCAAATAAAAATATTCTGTATTGACATAAAGCAGTGTTTAATTTTCCCTCTCATACACATCTGTCAGCAAACTGTTACCTTTAAGACCAGGAACGCCGCTCCTGCCAGGAAATCCCAAAGGTCCTGGTGGGCCTGGAGGTCCCATCATACCCATTTCACCTTTGGCACCTTTGAAGAATATCAGTAAGTACCATATGACTTTTTGACTTTGGGAAGATAAAAGGTAAGCTTTAAGGTGTCTACTAGAAAACTATTGAGGGTTGGAGAGCACTGTGAAGTTTTACTCCTTCTCACCTGCTGTTACCTCAGTACCCATTCCTGCCAATACCCAGGAACAGAAACTCCCAGGGGCAGCTAATATCTTCTCAATGAAGCATATTTCCTAGTACACATATGTGGTGGATTCCCCACCCCTGGAATCTGGGATGCCTCTGTGTTTTATCCTTGGCTACATGACACTGCATAACACCCAAGGCTAGATCAGAACTCTTGTGGCTTTTACATGGGACTCCTGGATCACTCACTTTTGGCTTTTGAGATTCTTTCTCTTTGGAAGTCAGGTGCGATGGTAGGACAGCGAGTACTGTGATATTATGATGATGTGAGGGGCCAAAGCCAAATGAAAAGGCACCATGGATGATGCCATATGAGTCAAAGAACACCCAAATGTGAGAGAAGTGCCATCTTAAGTAGATACTTCAGCTCTAATCACTCACGTTGGGGCCATATGAGTTACAGATAAATGATCCATTAAAGCTATTCCTTTATTTCTGACCCACAGAATCTTTAGCAATATTAAAAAGGTGAGTGTGAACCATCACAGTTTAAGGTTGTTTATTATACAATAATATATAACTGGAACTCTTATAGACAAAAGTATAGTGTAAATAGCAAAATAAGTTTCCTTGCAATCAAAGACATTTAGCACTCTTCTTTAACAGATTGTGTCAATCCAGAGAAGTGCAACATGAAAACAATCTATAAGAGTTATACTACTATTAATTTCCTGAATCCAAAATCAGAGATAATTAAACAAGTTACCTGGAAGTCCAGAGACACCTTCTTTTCCCGGGAGCCCTGGTGATCCTGGAGGTCCAATAGGACCAGGTGCTCCAGGGATCCCTGGACTGCCCCTCTCACCAGGGGGTCCTGGAACATCAAACCCAGGAGGTCCTTGATCCCCCTTCTCTCCTGGTATTCCATGTAAACCTAGTTAATATAGTAACAAGTATTGAAGCAGTTTTAAAAGATGTGTCTGATTACTTTTCTAATAAGCAAGTGATAGAATCCTGTGTATAACAAACCTCAGAGAATGTTAGAGATACTTTTGGCATAATGCTTATAAAATGACTGAAAAAATCAACACTTAGGATTTTTAATCACATTTCTCTAAAATAATGCTTCTCAAATTGTTTCTGGTGAAAGACTAATTTTTCTTGATTCCTAGTTCATAATGGAATAGTATATTTATAAAAGACCATAAAATCACTAAAACATGAAATAAAAAATAAAGACACAAAATAAAAGCCTAATTTTTTGTTTATTATATTCAACAAATACGATTATATCATGTAATTGCCATAAAAAATTCTAAAGGCTTACTCAATCTTTGTCCTTATTCCACTATAGACTGATTACAGTTTGTGATTCATTGGCCATACTTGGATTTGCATTGTTCTAACATTTATGAATCATTATTACACACTGCTGTGCCCTTAAATGATTAATTGCTGAATAAGTCAGCTACATGGACCCTTGTGATTTTATTTTGGCTTTATTTTACATGTTGTTTTCATAATACATTACTATTAGTTCTTATTATGAACTTTTGTTTCTCAGTATTTCAACAAGGATTTTACAGAAAAAAATATGACAATGCAAAAATACTTAACCTTAGTACATTTCTAGATTAAACTGCTCCAAAAGACAAGGTGGTTAGACAACAATATTATAGGGAAAGAATTACATTAATACATTGTGCATATTCTTGGTCTGAAACCTATCGACTGTACAACTTAAGTGAGCTTAGTCAAATGATCATTCCAAGTATCCCTTCAACAATGAAAGCTAAATTTATTGTTGAAGATTCATAGGTGATTGTTTTTATAAAGGGAACTCTTGTTCTTCGTTGGAATTTTAAAATATGTTTGATGCCCTATTCCAACATGCACTGCGGTTGATAAAATTCACTTTGAAGATTTGAGAATTCCACTAAGTGAGCACAGTGCTAATGGTTCCAAAGCTTCCTTTTGATTCATGTAGTGGAGATTTTTTTTCTTTTTAGCTGATTTAGTTGCACACTTTTTTCCTGAGACTAAGCAAGTAGCTATAGTACATTTGGCTAAGATAGAGTATATCTGTATACAAAGAGTATATTTAACTGATCTCTAAAAAGATTCACTAAAGCACTCACTAACCTTTTACCTAATGGTCAAATCAAATAATAAGAATCAACAACCTCCATATTTGTCTGGGTTAGTAGGGCATAGGATGAAAAAACATTTTGCTTTTAGTCCCTTGGTAATTTTTTTCCTGCTGTGGGATGAGGAACTGATATTCAAAAGGACCTAAATTTATAAATTTGCTAAGCTGTATAACTTGCCTTGGGAAAGAAAAAGCAATTAGTAAAACATTAAGTAAATAATAATAGAATCAAAAGAAAAACCTAAAGCATAACACATTTTACACTCCAATGATAACAATATAGAATATTTTGAATAAAGTATTCTATTGCAAAGTAAAACACTAGTATATTAAGTATGTTCTTTTAAAATAGTTGCTGTTAATATTTCAGTCATGCAGTGTAACTCAGGTATTAATATATTCGTAATAGTCTTGCTGAACATCCTATTTTTGAAATATGTGATCAGGAATTATGACAGTTTTGAAATATGTTAAGATAATATTTTGTTTTGGTGGCATAATTAAAATTTACCTAAAAAGAGTTATTAAATGTGGTTCATCCATGACAAGAAAGTGTGGTTTGAGAACATTTCTACATTAAGACGTGTCAGTAGCTTTATGTCAGGGCCAATAAAAAAGGTACAATGTGCCTTAAAATCAATTTTTTAAATATCACAGAGAGAAAAATAGCCTTTACCTTACAGGCTGTTTATATGATTACCAGTGTTCTAGATTTTTATCATAATAGCCAAGAAAATACCCATTGTCATATAAGGTCAGAAAACGTATTTCTATGGGTTCAAAAATAAATGTATATACATATGAACTGTGTTTTAAAGACCTCCTATGCATTCATTGTGAATTAAAGAATGATTAAATGTTCCATATTGGAGTGAGCTTTTTCTCACTCTTGTTATTACTGAACCTAACTGGGGCTAACTGGGCAGTGATGGGAGATTTAGAAACGGCACAGTATAGGCAGACAGACAGAAAGTTGGGGCCAGGTGTGTTGGGTGCTCGGGTGGAGACACACAAACCTCATTGCTTCTTTTCTCTATTATCCTATTCATTTACTCTGCTTCTTACCTCTATCTTTATTCTTTAAGGTCTTACTCTTTTACAGTTCTTTAAAACATTGCTTCTAAAGTCTTTCCTTAAAATCTTGCTTTTAAAGTCTTCTTTTCTGTTCTTCAAAGTCTCTTTCCTTAGACTCGCACTATCCCATGTTTTCTCTTAGCTGTTCTTTAGCATAATCTCTCTTAAAATCTTTGCCCGCACACTGGCACTGTCCCATGCTCTCTCTTTAGGTTTCTTCAAGCCTCAGTGCTCAGACTTGCACTGTCCCATGTTCTCTGTAGCTTTTCTTTAGCTTAGTTTTTCTAAAGTCTATGTATAAAGCTCTCGGTGCAGACTTTCTATCAACCCCTCTTTAGCAATCCCCCTTTAGCATTTCTTTTCCCTTCTGCAATCTCCCTTTGGCAATTTCCCTTCCAAAAGCCTCCCACATCCAAAAGCCAAAAAGCCAAAAGCCAAAAGCAAAACCAAAAAGCCTCAAGCTAAAGCCTCCTGTACTCCTTTAGTGAGTCTTTTATATCCAGTGGTAAACAGGGTGGAGCAGCAGTTCTTGGGAAAGGGCGTGACATTGTAACAGGAGAAACCTGCATCCCTGCTTCTCTGAATGTAAACAATTTAGGAAAAGCAGCTGTTCTGCATTTTCCTCTTCTGTGGCCAGGGCTATGCCAATCTCACCCTATAGATAAACATTTTAGGAAAAGCAGCTGAGCTACATCTCGCCTTGCTTATGTCCAGTTCTCATAGGCTTCTCATAATCTGCTCTCCACGCTATATTTGTTGATTTTATGAATTATTATTTCAGCTACTGTGCCTGCTTAGATTAGAATAAGAACTCACATCAGCAAATAATTCAGAAGTCACAATCTCAATATATTTTCACACGTATGTAGAAGAACCATATGATTCTCTATGGAGCTAAAAGAATTAGGATACATGTTGATGAAACTTTGTGGAGTGTCCAATTAAAAAATACAAAAAAACATTCTACAGTGTTCAGTTACAAACTGATTGCCTTTTTGGGGGCAAAAAGGAAAAAAAATCAACTACTTTTCAAAAGAGAAGAGGAAATGATAGTGCTAACTATATATAGCTTAGTGCTTATATGGCTTATATGTCAATGGTGCAATTATTAGACTACATTATTTAAAAAAGATGAATTTTAGATGAACAGGAAGGGAAAATGTCAGGGATTTAAAGTAGCTCTTATGCTGTGACCTATATATTTTCATTTTTACAAATTTATATACACATATATATTACCTGTTAAATTGGTGTTCTGGAAGACTTATACAGTTTTCATTTTATCAATGCGCTAACCAACCTACACGTTATGAGTGCTATAAAACACACATTTACTCCAATCTTACCAGGTTGGCCTATTGGTCCAGGAGTCCCTGGTGGTCCTGGTGGCCCCTGAACACCAATTCCTGGCAGCCCAGGGGGCCCTACTGGTCCAGGTTGTCCATTTGCTCCAACATCACCTTTCATAAATAAATATAGTTTAGAAATTAAAAATAACAACTGAACCACCAGTCCAAAGGGAAATGGCACATCATATTAAACAGGGATCTGGAAAAGTTGGCCATTGTTCAGGAGAATGGCTAGAGAACTCATCAATAGGTAAGATTCTTATATAATTTAACATAAGTAGAGCACTCAACTTCAGTACTCAAATTAATGCCACAAAAAGAATAAGAAATCATAAAGAACACATTCTTTCTACTTCTAACCCATCTTAGGCAATTATTTATTAGTAAGTTTAAAATACATTTTCAAATTACATGTATTTTAAGGTAGATAGCTTTCAACATCTTCCTTTTTATTAACTCAGGACTATGGCATAAAATAAGCTCAAGCCTCTCTCATCATCAGTAAAACATTTCTTTGATATTAGAAACTTCACTGTCTCCATTTTCTAACAGTCCAACTTTTCAAACATTTTGCAGGTATTAAAATTCACTTTGAAAAGTGTGCATTTTGATGAGTTTTGACAAATGTATATAGTCACATAATCACTACTAAAATGAAGTTATTGAACAGATCCATCAACCTCAAAAGGGCCCCGTGTAGTCAATCTACCCCCTCCCTGCATTCCAATTCCCTTGCAACTACTGATCTACTTATATCTTACAGTTCTTACCTTTTCTAGAATGTTATAAATCTAATCATGCAGGATATAGCCTCTTGACTATATCTTCTTTCACTTAATGTGATTCATTTACGGTTCGTTAGTGCTCTGTGTATCAGTAGTATTCCACTGAATGCATACAATATATTTTGCCAGTTTTACCACTATCTGATGGACATTTAGGCTGTTTCCAATTCTTGGTGATTATGAACACTGACAACAGATTTCTGTGTGAAGCTTCAAATTTTCTTTAGTAAGTATCTAGAAGTGATATTGCTGCATCATGTGGTAAGATCATGTTTACATCTATAAATAATTGTCATGCAGGAGAGACAAGATGGCAGACTGGAGACACCCACCACATTCCTGCATCTTCACAAACATGAAATCAGATACATGGATGCAATGAGAATTATTCGTTGGACAAATAAATAATATCCTGAAAACAGGTGCTCATCAATTGATTAATAGATAAAGAAAATGTGGTATGTATACACACTGGCACATTATTCAGCTGTAAAGAAGAATGAAATTGTCATTTACAGGAAAGTAGATACAGTTGGAGATCATGTTGAGTGAAATAAGTCAGATTCAGAAAGACAAATTTCACATGCTTTTTCTCATATGTGGAATCTAGTGTAAAAAATCAAAACAAAAGAAAAATAATGGCATGAATATGAAAGGAGGACTGTTTGGGGAGGGGAGCCAGCAGGAGGGCAAAAAGAGAGGGTGATGGGGGATGAATATGATCAAAGTACATTATATGCATGTGTGAAAATAGGTTAATAAACACATGAAAAATTATAAAAAGAGGAGCATGGGAAGGGATAAGAGAGTAATAGAGCAGTAAATGTGAACAAAACACATTATATGTATGTGTGGAAAGATCACAACAAACCCAACAATTTTTAAAAAATAGTAATAAAAAGAAATTGTCACACTTTTTCAATATGATATCAAACTTTTCTTCTGTGCTGGAGACTGAACACTTCTTCAAAGTGCCTGTACCATTTTGCATTCTAGTTGCTCTGCATTCTTGGCAGCACTTGGTATTACTAGTTTTCTTCTTCTTTTGTGAAAAAGCCAATTCCAATAGTTATGTATGACATTGTGGGTTTAACTTGCACTTGGGAGATGAATATTTAGCATTTTTACATGTGCCTTTTTGCCACTTGGATGTTTTCTTTGGTGACATTTCTATTCAAATTTTTGCCCATTTTCCAACTGTAGTTTTAATTTGGTAATTTGTTTTCTTATTTCTGAGCTAATGTTTTCCTTAATCAAAGAACATCTGTATTGATGTCAATAATTGTGTCATGGGTTTCTCCAAGGGAACATATGGGGTTAGTGTTTCCTTTTTTTTGATTGTTGTACTGGGGGTACATTGCAACATTTGCAAAAGTTCCTGCAATATATTATAGTTGATTCACCCCTTCCATCATTCTCCTTCATCTCCCCTCTCCCCCATTCCTGGAACACTTTCAACAGGTTTCACTTTTCCATTTTCATACATGAGTATATAATACATTGGATCAAGCTTTTTGCAATGTCATTTATTAAGCTAAAGAAATTCTCTTCTATTACTAATTTTCTGAAAGTAATTTTTTTCAGAAATGGATATTATTTCAATTTTATCAAATAATTTTTAGTATTTATTAAGTTGATAATACTTTAGACTGTTGATTATGCAAATTATACTGATTGATTTTTCAAGTGTCAAACCAGCTTGTTCTGAGGATAAAACTTACTTGGTTGTAATATAGTCTCCATTTTATATGCTGCTATATTTGATGCACCAAAATTATTTGAAGATTTTTACTTCTATGTTCATGAGAAATACTGGTCTCTAACTTTCTTTTTTATGTCTTTGCTTTCTTATAATGTCTTAGATATCACAGTAATACTAGTCTCAATATTTGGGAAGTGAACCATCCACTATTTGGGGGAAGAGACTGTGTAGATTTGGTGTTATTGCTTCTTTAATGTTTGGTAAAAATGCCAAACATTTATGCAAATGATGCCAATTGGACCGTTAGTTTTCTTTGATGATATGATTTTAACTGCAAACTCAATTTATAAAAAAAATAGGTATCTAGGTTGCATATTTCTACACCAGTAAGTGTCAACAGTTTTGATCAATAGTTTGTAATCAGTCCATTTCATCCAAATTGTTGAATTTATGAGCATGCAGTTTCTTGTAATATATTTTTGCTATTCTTTTAAGATCTATAATGGAACTGTAATGATGCTCCCCTTTTCAATCCTAATATTGGTTACCTGTATGTCTCTTTTCTTTCTTGGTCATCCTGGCTAGATGCGTATCAGATTTATTGGTCTTTTCAAAGAACCTCATTTGATTTCATAGAACTTTCCATTTCCCAATTTTAATTTAATTGATACTTGCTCATTATAGCCAACAATCTGCATGTGTTCTTGTAAATTTGTTTTTCTTCTCTAATTTTTTCTTTCTTTTTTTGGTGATAATGAGACTTGAACTCAGGGTCTCATGCTTGATAGGCAGGCACTCTACCACTTGAGCAACACCTCCAGTCCCCCTTCTCTGGTTTCTTAAAGTGAAAACTTAGATAATTTATATGAGATCTCTTTTTTCTAATAAAGTCTTTAATATATGAATTTACTTCTAATTACTTCATATAATTCTACAGATTTTGATATGTTTTACTTTCATTTTCATTTGATTCAAAATACTTTATAATCGTCCTACTGATTTCTCCTTTGATCTACTGTCTATCTAGAAGTGTTCATGTTATTTTCTAAATATGCCAGAAATTTCCCAGATATATGTCTTTCTGGTATTGATTTCATATTAAATTTATTATGGATTCTTATTATGGATTTAATAAGAGGGCTTACTATATAAGTAAAAGGACTTAACCGTATAACATCAAATTTTAATTTGCCAAGGTTTGTATCATTGCCCAGATTATGGTCTTTTATGGTTAATGTTTCACGTGCATCTGAATAGAATGTGCTTTCTGATCTTATTGGGTGAAATATTCTATAAATGTCAATGTAGAGGAGTTACACTAGAGCAATTTCTAACAGTTCCCTGACAGAATACTAGACACCCTTATCCCTGTATCCTTTTATGGAAACCAATGCCAAGTATGGCCCATTCTAGTTGGATGAGAATGATAAATCTAGACCACCTAATGGTGGGATACTATTCCCCAATTTTCTATGTGTAATTTTATACTGCCTTTAATGGAACCATTCAAATTGTATAATTTGAAAATACAAGAATCTTTATCTTGTACATTTTCTTCATAGTATTTTAATTTTGCATTGTATACTTATAATTATAGTTCTATTTTATATATTGTGCATTAAGGATTTATTTAATGAGACAATTCATTCAATAACAATTTTAAAAGAATTGACTCTTTCCCTGTGACTAATGATGACTCTTCTGTGAAATATGAAGTTTCTATATACACAATGGTGTATTTCTGAATCCTTTGTATTCCACTGGTCCACTTGGTGATTCCTGCACTAGTTCACAATGTATAATTACAATGACATTTTAATATATTCTAGCAAACATTTATCAAATATTAAGTTTCAGAATCACTTATGTCAGATGCTTTCAAAATTTTACTTGAGTTCTCATTGAAAACAAATTATATTTATAGATGAATTTGGGAAAAGTTGACATCATTGAGTCCTCTTATCAACACATGATTTATCACTCAATTAATTCTACCATTTTTTCTTATTAACAATAGAGTTTATATTTTTCTTACAGATACATTAGGCATATTTTGTTAATCTCAAGATATGACACACATTTTGTTATTATCATAAACTTATATTTCTTCCAATATTTCCTAATACACCATTCTATTTCTTCAAATATTTTGCACATTATTTCTGCTGCCTATGACCCTTTTCTTAAAGAGTCTATTCAAGTGTCACCTCCTATCTGAAACCTCCCAAGTACCCTAGATGAAGTCCTAAACAAAAGTAACTTATCAAGTAAACAGAATGCTTCTAAAGTCATCTTCTTTCTTTATTTCTTTTTGTATAATTTCATTTTAATGTTCAACCTTAAGTACATTTTCTACTAATGTAGATATATACTGATTGTTATTAGCTTCATTAATTTATTATTGGTTACTAAGCTGTTTTGAAAGTGCTGCATCAACCTCTCCTATAGTTTAGTTGCCGAGGTTAAATATCTAGTAATAGGCGTGAGTATGTTTGGTAGGTAAACTTATTTCTGTCAGTGCTGGGGATTGAGCCCAGGGATTTTCACATATCAGGTAAGTATTCTACTACTGAGCTATACTCTGAGCTCTCGTGGGTGAACTTTTATTGTAATTGCTTGCTGGGTTTTGACTGTGATCTATTAATTCGAAAGATTAGTTATACATATTCATAAAAAGTTCCTGTTGAGATAACAACTATCATAGCAATACCACCTACATTTTCTTAAAGTCTAGAGCAATCTCTTCAGACCTTTAAGAACTGAATTTATGTAACTGTGTTTCTAGTGATTCAGATACTACATGGCTAAGGTTAGGAACATAATAACTGTTGGAGGATTGAAGGGATCACATGGCAGACTTCCCCAAATATTTATTCTTCTAGCACCTTAAGAACTATGCTGGGAGCCAGGCATGGTGGCACACACCTATAATACAAGCACTCATGAGGCTGTTGCAGAAGGACTGTTAATTCAAGGCTAGCCTTGGCTATAGAGACAGTGTCTCAAAACAAAACAAAAACCAACCAGCCAAACAAACAGAAAACTATAACAGGGTTTTAGTAACTGAGAACTTCTTTTATTAGGATACAGGGATCTCAAATTTCCTTCCAAAGATTAAACAAATGCCTCTGAAGACGTTCATGTGTCTCAGTGACATATAATAAAATATAATGAGTGAGCTATAACATAAGGAGATTGCTACACAGCTTATCATTTGGAATATTTCCATCTGCAATTTTGAGGGTCATGGGTCTACAGCTGAGAAGGGGGATAACTGGTGGGAAATATTATCTGTAACATTGAGATATAGCTTACAGCTGGCCAGAACTGTTTAGTCAAAGATATAAAAGTATTTTTAAAAGAGCTTACCTAAGAAAAATTTGTGCTGGGCTAGTTTGTGGTTTTGCAAGTAGAATCTATCCTGGTTAAAAATGGCTGTACTATTGCTTTAATAGAAACCAAACCAATACAGTTCAGGAATATTGACTTATTTGGATTGTTCTTTAGGGATCAAAACATTGACTAGGAGAATCTGGCTCCTTGCAAACGAAACAACAAAAAAAATTCCAAACTAGCTATACTAATTCTATTTCTGAATATATTTAGCAAACTCAAAATCATGGGGCTAAAAGAAACCAACAGAGAAATGAGCAAATGACATTAGCAGCTGAAACAAAAAATTATGACTCTTACATATATGAAATGATGGTCAATTCACTCATAGCAAGGGACATACAAATTTAAACCACCCTCAGAAAAAGGCAAAGGACCTAGTAGAGCCAATAAAAAAGAACAAATTTACAGGACTTACATTACTTGACTTCAAGTCTTAATATAAAACTATAGTAATATAAACAATGTAGCATTGGCTTAAGGATAGTAAAATAGAAATAAAACAGAATTGAAAGCACAGAAATAGACCCACACATATATAACCATTTGATTTGACAGAGATCCCAAAGTAACCCAATAGGGAGGGGGGTATTTTAAATAAATGATACAAAATAAAAGTTATGTGAGATAGGTGATAGTTCTAAAACCATAAAGCTAGGGGTGAATTCAAATATGATATATTTGTTACATTGTAAGGACTTTTGTAAATGCCACAATGTACCCCCACCCAGCACAACAATAAAAAAAGAAGAAAAAAGAAAAAATCCAAAAAAAAAAAAAAACCATAAAGCTTTTAGAACAGAGTATCTTGGTAGTGCTGGGGCCAGCAAATATTTCTTAGAAAAGACACAGAAAATTATAAACATAAAACATTTTATGGGTAATACATCAACAAAATTAAAAGTTTGTCCATTAAAATACATGGAAAAGTGAATAGGAAAACTACATAGGGATAAAATACTCATTCCAACTTAATACTAAAATGAGAAACACTGATCATTTAAAATGACAAATAGTTGAACATGTAAATATTCCACAAATACATAAAAAGGGTTCACAGACACTTTTCAAAGAAGAACAAATGGCAAATAGATACAGTAAAAAAATATTCAAAGTCTTCAGTCATAAAAGAAATGCAAATCAAAATTGCACTGAGATTCCATCTCACTCCAGTCAGAATGGCTATCATCAAGAAAGCAAATAACAAATGCTCGTGAGATGGGGCAGGGGCTGCGAAGAAAAGGTAAATTAGTCCAGCCACTATTACAATCAATATGGAGATTCCTCAAAATATTAAAAATAGAACTTCCATATGATCCAGCCACACAATTTCTGGGTATATGCCCAACAGAATTAAAGTCATCTTACTAAAGAGATACCTGTATACCTATGCTTATTGCAGCATTATTCACAACAGTTAAACCATGGAATCATTCTAGATGTTTATCAGTTGATGAATGGATAAAGAATATGTGGTACACCTACACAATGGAGCATATGTGAAAGCTAGGGGAAAACAAAACAAAAACCCAGGTCATGATAGTAAAAGGGGATGAGAGGGGAAGAAAAAGGGGAAAGCGAGGAAGGGGAATAAGAAAGAGCAATAGAGGGGTTGAATATAATCAAACTACATGATATGCATGTATGTAAATGTCATGATGAAACCCTTACCATGTACTATTTAATTAATGCCAATAAAAAAGAGCTGAACATCTTTAATCATCAAGCAAATGTAAATTGAAACAACTTATGAATCTACCACAACCTACCAAAATTCCAAATTTAGAGAGAATATGGTATAACTGAAACTTTCTTACCACATTGGCATGAATTTAAAATGGCACATCTATTTTGGAAAAAGGTCTAGTAGTTTCCTACACAAGTAGATACACACTTAAGACCCAACAATTCTATTCTTATTTACTCAAGCAAAATGAAAGCATATATCCATAAAAAGACATGTATAACCTGCTCTTAACAGTTTCACTCATAATAGCCAAAAATATGACACAGTCCAGGTGACATTCAGTAATTTCACTGAAAGATAAAAACTACTGATCAAAAATATGTTTGTTGAAAGAAGATTTACACAAAGAATGTACATATTGCATATTCCACTTATAAGGAGCTCTAGGATAGGTAAACAAATTTATAATTAAAAACTCCTAACAGTATAGTTGCCAACGTGGATGTGACTGACTGGAAGGGGAATAAGGAGAATTTCTGGAATGATATCTTTTCCTTTTTTTTTTGTGGTAATGGAAATGGAACACAGGGCCTTGAGGATGCTATGTAAGCGTTCTACCAATGAGATACTTCCCTAGCTCTGGTATAATATCTTGACAGTGGTTTGAATTACACAGGTATATACATTTACTAAAATCCAGAAAATATACCCTTAAGATCTGTGCATCTCATTTAATGTGAATTTTATAACAAAGTAAAAAGTGAAATTTTAGTTATGGTACACATCCTGAAATATTTAGGGAGAAGTATACTATTGTTGCAATTATTTTGAGACGCATCAAAAGGAGATCAATGGATATAGAGGTAGATGGGTAGATGAGCACATATGTGCCAAAGCATGTATAGTGAAACACTGAAAGTGGAATATCAGTGACGGGTACATAGTAGTCATTGTAATGTTCTTTCTACTTTGTGTTGTAAATGACTTACATCACTATTTTTCTGATCCTAAGGATTGTACCTAGAGCCTTGAGCATGCTAGGCAAGTGCTCTATTGCTGAGCTATACCCCCAGCCCCTATATTTAGATTTTTAAAATTAAAAATCTGGCAGGGAAACAAAATGTTAATTGTGAAATCTAGGTAGTGGATATATAGCCATTCAGCGTTTAATTATTTTTATTTTCTGTACTTGAAAATTTCCACAATAAAATGTTTAAAAACAACTACTCTGAGAAACCTACTTACTTCTATCAGCCTAACAAAAATTCAGGAGTTTTTCAGTATACTTGGGAAGGTTTTGGAGAAACAAGAATACCAATTCATCACTGGTGAGAGTATAAAACGGTACAAATGGAGAGGAATCTGACAATATCTAGAAAATCCATTTACCCTTTATTCAGAAAGTCCATTTTCATTACTTTATTCTGTAGTTATCCCTACACACATCTGAAATAATGTGTATGAAAGATTATTCACTGTGGCATTATTTATAATAAGAAAACATTGACAAAAATGAATTCTAGCAAATGCCACCTGGTAGAATAAGGTAGTATACCCATGCAATTCAATACTAGGCAGCTACTTTGCTTTTAAATCAAGATTTCTAAGTACTGATATGAGTGATTTCTAAGATATAAAGTTACATGAAATAAGCAAAGTAGAAAAACACCTAAAGTTAAATACATGGTCTTTTAAGAAATGGAGAAAATAAAAATACATTTGCCTTAGATAGTGTTTTTATAAAGGAACAGTAGAAGGATAATTAAGAAACCAAAAAGTGGGTGCATATGTGGATGAAGAAGAGTGGATGGGGATGGAAGGGAAGAAATACTTCCCACTCCTACATTTATTTATTTATTTTTGAAACAGGGTCTCACTCTAGCCCAGGCTGAACTGGAACTCATGATCATCCTGCCTCTGCCTCCTAAATGCTGGGATTATAGACATGACCAGTTGAGTGTTACTTCTATACAAAGATTTTTGTATTATCTATCCAAAGAAGTAAAAGATAAAATGAAACAATGGAGGATGTAAAAAGGAGTGTAGCAGTGACAGAGGAACATCAGAGACTATCCAGTTACTTGGCTTATCACCCTTAAACTTTCCCAAAGGTTTCAATTTCTATAAAACCAGAAAGCAAATTGAGAATTACCAACAGCCTCCATACCTTTTGGTCCAGGTAGCCCATCCAAGCCAGTGCGTCCTGGAGGACCTGAAGGTCCTGGGAAGCCACGATCACCTTTTGGACCAATCGTTCCTTTGAAACCGGGGAGTCCTGGCAGCCCAGGTGGCCCAGGTAACCCAAATCCTGGCTCTCCCTTAAGGCATACACATGACAAAACACAACAAAAACTCCCATAACTTTTCTGGGGCTTACTATTTACTACAGAGAATTTAAAGCTGAAAACGCATGGTAATACATTTTTCCAGAGGGAGAAGGGGAGGATAATTAAATGAAGAGTAATTGGTATGTTAGAGAGACCATCTGGAAGGATGGGAAATAAGGTTTAGTAAAACAAATTAATTGACTTGGACTGGTTTCAGAATAAGGAAGATAACTAAGGAGTATGAGATTAAATAAGTCTTTCCAAGTGAGGAAAGACTGAATATCAGAAAAGTCAGAAATAATTATTTTTAATTTGACTAAGTATCATAATGGCACTGAGATTTTTGTATAAAATACACATGTACTTAGAGATGAATACAGAAGCATTTGTAGGTGAAATGGCATAATTTTGAGATTTGCATTAAAATATTGAGTAAAATAAAATGAAATAAAGTAAATATGAGAAAATCTTATTAATTTTCCATCTTGGAGATGGATAAAAGTATTACTCCTTTTACTTATGTGTTTATTTGAAAATGTCCATAACAAAAAATTTTTAAAGTCAAACAAAAGATAAGTGTTTTTTTCATGAGAGCTGGGGTCAAGGTCAACTGTTTTTCCCATGGAAAACAAGAAATAATGATAAAACTCAAGAGAATTAAATTAATTAAACACAGAAAATACAGGAACAGTCAGGACAATTACACATTACAGCAGTTTGCTGAAGTCTGATTGAGGAAAGTTTGAGATTAGGTAAGATACAATAAAAGAAATGGAAAATAACACAAATATAGAAGTTTTAATTATTATTACTATAATAAGTCAATTATAGTGATTTGCATTATGCATCTGTGGTAGAATTAGCACACAGGCAACCAGTATAGGATGTTCTTAATATGTTCAACCAATCATCATATAGGTATATCAGATAATGGGGTAGTAATTCTATAGAAAAGCACAGTATAAGCTGATTATTATATTTTCTCATCTATTTGAATAAATGGCCATTCTAAAACAGGATTAGAAAATTCTTAATCAAAATATGACCTCTTGGACTATTATAGATGGTTTGGGGATTAAATATTTTTAAACAAAAACATGATCAGTTAAGTTTTATCTATATAGTAAAGACTTGGAATGATGTCTAAGTTAAAATAGAAAGTTAGGACTAAGGAAGTTGAGGAGATAGAAAAACAAGAAAGGGTAAATTAAAATGTCCTAGACCTTTGGTCCTGGAAAGCCTGGTGGCCCTGGAGGGCCTTCTAGACCAATTCTTCCAGGTATCCCAGGTGCTCCTGGAGGTCCTGGAATTCCTGGAAAACCTATAAAATGATATATAATTTTTTAATTCCCACAGTGGAGACACTTTAAGAAATGTATGTTTATTCTCACCTTACACAATCATGCTTAGTGACTACAGTAAGATGTTAAAACACAATGATATTCTTTATGACTACTTAGGATTAAGCCTTAAAGATATCTGACATTCTTACTCAATGACCTTACAATCCTTTTATTTTTACAGACACAATGTGTATAGAAGAAGATATGCTCTTCTGAAGAAAAAGAAGACTATTACATAGTAAGACAGAACTAAAAATAAGGAATGAATCCCATGCAAAATACAGAACAACTTTTTTTCTACTTACCTCTTGATATAGTACGATAAAATGCATATCACATACGTCTAATAATGAACTAAAAACAGCTACAGGTATTACACACACATTCACACATAAAACTAAATCTGATACTTTTGAAAGCATTTGATAACAGTGATGGTTATGTTTAAAAACTGTCCTCACACAAATGTGCACCCTTGCCAATCATGAGAATAAATTCTGTGAGGAATAAAGCAGAACTGTTGCAATAGCCCTAAAAGTTTTTAATAACTCAAGATAGCATTTTTACTTGGAATGAAACATTGTATGTATGTGTGCAATAAATTTTTCCTGTTTAATTCAACCCATTAATTCAACAAATATATACTGAGTGATTACTATATTGCCAGGAACTGTTACAAGCTTGAAAATACAAAGGTGGACACAAAATACAACAATTCCTGTGAGTTTTTTGCCTTGTAAATTATTTTTATTCTAACCTTATAAATCAAGCTAACCTTTCCTACCAACTATCAAATTCAACATACCTTTAGGACCTGGTGGCCCAGGAAGCCCAATTCCAGGGGTACCTGGTTCTCCCTTGCTACCAGGTATTCCTGGCAGACCTGGTTGGCCTGGGAGTCCAGGGTCACCTATGAAGAAATAGGTTTTGAAAGGTAAATGTTCAAAAAAAAAAAAAAGAAGCCAACAAGCAGTGAAGATGTTTTGAAATAAATTATTCCCATACCTGGAAGACCTACTTCACCATCTCTTCCTGGATTACCAGGAAGACCAGGCTTCCCTGGCTGGGTTATGGTCTGACCAGGATCACCTTTTGGACCTGAGAACAAAAGAGAATCAGGGCTGAGTAAGAAATATTTACTGACTAATGATCTTTTAATTAAAAACTAAAAGGAAATCATCATCAACAATCTTCAGAAATGCAAACTAATAAAATTCCACAAGAAAAACACTCTGACATTATATATTCTAGGAAGGTATCAGACAGAAGGATGAAATTTCCAAGAGATAAAGTTGATGATAGCTTTAAGAACTTCCCTGACTGAAGAAGTGTGATGGCTAATTTTAGAAGTCAACTTGAATGGATTAAGAGATGCCTAGGTATCTAACAAAGGATCATTTCTGAGTATGTCTGTGAGAGTGATTCCAACATCTTGGATAGATCAAAAAAGGCAGAAAACAGGTGAATTAGCTCTCTCTCTCTCTCTCTCTCTTTTGGAGTTGGGACACTCATTTTCTCCTGCCCTTGAGCATCAGAATGCCCATTTGTCCAACCTTTAGACTCTGGGACTTGCACCAGCACCCACTCCCCCTCCCCCAGTTCCTAGGCCTTTGGACATTGATTGAACCACACTACCAGCTTCCTGGTTCTGCAGCTTGCAGAAATCCCATCATGGAATCTCTCAGCCTCCATAGTCATGTGAACCAATTCCTTTAATACATCCCTTCTTTATCTATCTATCTATCTATCTATTTATCTATCTATCTATCTATCTGTCTGTCTTGCTACCTATTCATCCATCCATCCTATTGTGTCTATATCTTTGGAGACTCCTGACTAATCAAAGATAGTATCTATAAAAACATTTCTTAAATGTAGGCCAAATCACCCTAAAGTATATCCAACTGTAGTAAACAAGAAGCATGCTTCTTTTGATTAACTAATGGTACTTTAGGTTTTGTGTGTGCAGAGTCCAAGTACAACTACTTTTCAGTAATTCAAACATGAACTTGAAATGAGTTAAGGACAAAGAAAGATTTCCTAGCCATGACACAAAATATGCTAACCATGAGAGGAAATACTGACAAATTGACTATATTAAAATTGATTTCTGAAGGATAGGAAGGAAACGGGTCATTTCCGGGGATGGGTACCAGTGGGAGGGGAGGCATAAGGAGAGCATGAAGGAGGGTGAATATGGTGGATGTATTTTGTACTCATGTATGAAAATAGAAAGATGAAACTTGTTTAAATTGTTCTAAGAAAGGAGTGGGGATGAGGGAGAACAAGAACAAAGGAGGGGGTAAATCTAATTAAGATATAGTGCAAGTATATATGTAAATACCACAATGTATCTCCCATGTACAACTATTATATGCTAACAAAAAAGAAATATCTTTAACAAAAAACTGATTTCTGTTCAATAAAGACACCACAGAGTGCAAATGGCAAGCAAAATTAGACAAAGATTTTTTTGCAAAATTCATAGCTAACAGGCCAGATGCGGTGATATAAACCTGTAATTCCAGCTACCTGGGAGGTAAAGATCAGGAGGATCACATGGAGTTTGAGGCCAGCCTTCGGACAAAGCTAGTTAGACCTCATCTCAACAAGTAAGCTGAATGTGGTGGCTTTATGACTATAATCCCAGGTCCTTGTTAAGGACTGAAGAATCCTAATATAAATGGCCAAGGAAACACATTTCTCAAGGAAGGAAGCCAAGAATGGCCAAAAGATAGTACGTTTCTGCTCTTGAACACCAAATTTAAAATAAAACAATCATAGTAAACATACCTGGAATTCCTGGTGGGCCTGGATTTCCTGCCATACCTTGTATGCCTTTTTCACCTATTGGGCCTGGAGGGCCAAAACCAACAGGACCTGTAGGCCCCATTGTCCCTGGGAGACCTGGCAAACCTGGGTTCCCAGGGGGGCCTCTTTCACCCTTAAAAGCAATTCCACCCTAAAAGAGAAAAGTTTAATACACAAACCATAGATAAAACAACTACCTGTAGGTGATATAATTGAATACAACTAGGGAAATCATGCAACCATAAATAGCTCTTGAGGGTGAATTCAAGTATGATATATTTGTTATATTGTAAGAACCTTTGCAAATGTTACAATGTATCCCCACCCAGCACAACAATAATAAAAAAATTAAAAACAGCTCTTAAAAGTGTATGGTATTATGGAATGCTTTGTATAATCACTTCATTTAATCATTCACTGTTTCAACAAATATTTTTGAGATCCTTATCTGATCTCAAAATCATATAGTAATACAGCAGAGAATATAAATATACCAAAATCTCTGATCTCATTAAGCTTATGACCTAGTATAAGTCAAGAAGGGTACATTCTAGCTAACATATTATAAAATATACTTTCAACCTAAATATTTTAGGCTGTTTGCCTTGAACAAAATGATACTCTATTCATTTATGTACAATCTTTGGCTCTGTGGCACACTTAACTCATAATAATCTATGAGATTACTGTATGTAAAAATCAAGTTAGATTTCTGGTTGTCAGGTCTAAACAAACACATGTGATGTGAGAGAAAGTGAACCTCATACTGACTCATAAGCATGCTAACCTTCTGCCTACCTATTCATAGCCATTATACTCAATATCAGAATGGGTTAAGAAATAGTTAATGAAATGGAAAGAAAAGACTAGCAAGGAAATCCCACATAATATCATTACTATATTAATCACATTCTTTTAGGTATTGATAGGGTATTCATTCCAACATCAGGTTCATCATTTGTTTTAATTTAGCAAACTTTCTTGGGGGGAGTGGGGTCTCACACTCACACCAGGGTCTCACACATGCCAAGCAAAAACTCTACCACCAAGCTATACCTCCAGCCCCTAGGAAACATTTCTAAGTAGCAATCTGACATCACAAAAGAAAGAATAACAAACCAACTCACAGGTTCTCCTTTGCGGCCAGGAAGCCCTGGCAATCCATCCTGTCCAGGAGTGCCAGGTAAACCAGGAAGCCCTGGAGCTCCAGGGGAACCTAACTCTCCTTTGTCACCCTTCATTCCTGGAAAAGTGAGGATGTCACCAGGATCACCTTTAGATCCAGGAAAGCCTGGAGTACCTGGAGCTCCAGGTATTCCCTGAGTTTGGGGAAAAAAAAGAAAGAAAAAAATAGAAAAAGAAAATCAATTTTTTTCTAACACTTTCTTCTCTTCAGTTTACCTCATTAATCCACCCAGCAACTTTTAATGCAAAAAGCACTGGCTCAAATGAGGTGTGTGAGTCAGGTAGAGTCAAACATTGAAATAAATTACAATTTCATATACAAGGTAATTACCATGTATTATACTTTATATAATACATATTATATAATCATTTTATATTATATACAAATACTGATTAATAGATATTAATTACATATAATATACAAAACTATTATTTATATAAGCAAAAATATATCCAAAAGTGAAACTCAAAGTGCACATGGCTTCCTTCTACTTCTTTTTGATCTAAAATATACTCAAAGCTTACTTACTGGTAATCCTTTGGGACCAGTTGCTCCTGCATATCCTTTTTCTCCCTTCTGTCCAGGGAAACCAAGAGATCCTACGACACACACAAAATAATGTGAGCTTTGAGCCTGAACCTTTTACAAAGCTCATAAAGAAATCAGCAAATCCAGAGCTCAAGTTTTAAAATAAGAACCCCACTCGATCCCATTTATGTCACATTTTTATTTTCCTCTTTTATATTCTCCAAATTAGGAAATCACACTTTCTTTTAAATAAATTTCATGTTATATACAATATTGTATCTTCAGGTATTTCTAACCCAAAGTAGCTTTTCCCAGAGCTTATATCTACCAAATAGTACATGTACTGGTGCTTGAATTCCTGTAATCGTAATCATCCCAATACCAAGGGGAGAAGCAGATAAGAAGTTTTCATATCTTCATTCTCAGTTATACAATTTTCCTAGATCTTCACCAGTGCTTCCTTTGGTTTGTCACTTCCTAAAATTTGGTTTAAGAGAAATGTTTGGTGCCCAAAGACTACAGAAAAAATGAATAGAGCAGTGGTTCTCCAAATGAATCACTGCCACCAGAATACTAGGTAAAAATGGTAACTTTTGAATGTTTCTAATAACTTCCCACTGTGAACTACTGAATCAGAATCTGGGATTTAAGACATGCTCCAGGTGATTCTGATCCACTGCAAATTTTGAGAGCACTAGACAAGAGCCACAAGGCTAGATGACTAACTTCTAGAGGCTGGCTTCTAGATTTGTAGAAAGTATTTCCAAACTGCTAATGAACTGGTGTCTTTGGCAGACACACTAGACAGGTAAAGATCTGGTATCTATTCTCACCCAGACTTAGACATAAAGTGTGACCTCAAAAGCATCTAATATTAGGGTATACAAAGAAACAATTGAGTAAAACATTTGGGGGTCTGAAACACTGAAGATGGTTTTCACTGGAAATGAGGAGGAGATAGGTAGGTAGGTAGGTAGGTAGATAGATAGATGGCAAAGGAAAGGAAAGCAGTGGAGAGGAGAGGAGAGGAGAAGAGAGGAGAGGAGAGGAGAGGAGAGGAGAGAGGAATTGACAGCTGCCAAGCTCTTCCTTAATGACTCATGTGATATATCCCCAGTGACTAGAAACTCTGCCATTGGAAACTATCCTCAGGGTTTAGGCATTATCAACTTTGCTTCAGTTTTCTAAAAGAAAGAAGTCTGACTGTATTTTATATTCCTTTATGTATGGAAAACAGGGAAGATATAACTCTTAGAATAATATTGTTAAAATGCTGTAATAGAAAATGTTGTTAGTTTCAGGTATCAGGCATAAATAAGAGCATAATTTATTTCATAACAAAGAAAGGCATTTTATATTGAATTATTTGTGACTGGCTATAAAATTATGAGTGACTGTCTATAAAGTGAGAAATTGGAAATATTATAAATCTATGAATGCACTATGAATATGAATATTCATATTCATATTCACTATGAATATGAATATGAATATTATGAATCTATGAATGCAAGAAATATTTTAAAAGATTGCCTTCAGGCAGAATGTTTTACCTGGAGGACCTGGGAGACCTGGCAAACCAGGTTGACCTGGTGGCCCTGAAATACCAGTTCCAATACAGTTGAAGCAAGTGTCACCTTTGTCACCTGATGAAAATCATAATAGAAAACAAAATATTACTGGAAGTGGTACTTAAACCTTCTTTAGATAGGTTCTAAAGAACTTAGCACTAAGGGATAGCATTCCTATGCAACAGTGTGGTTAGAGAAGCCTATGTCTAGAATTGATTCACTGACATACTTATTGAGTGACTTCTGTGTACCAAGGACTGTTCCAGGTGTTTGTGATACACTGACAAACAAAACAGGCAAAATTATATGCCTACACGGAGCTTACTTTCTACAGGTAGAAAGGATGATAAACAATGAAGGTAATAAATTACTAAATTACAAGTTAAATATTTTAATACAATATAAATATGCTAAATTTTAATATATTAAAATATGTAGGAAAAATATGACAAGAATGGGCGAGTGGAAGGAAGGTTGCAATTTTAAATAGGTTGCACATTTAATAGGTAGATCTCACTGACAACATAATATATGATTTAAAAAACTTAAAAGGCATGACATTCTATACATAAGTATACATAAATATAGAATGTTCTGACAGAGAGAATAACCATGTTTGACATATACATGAAGCAGCAAGCAGACCACACAGCTGGAGCAGAATGAGGAAGTGGAGCTAGGTCAGATAGTAGTTTCTAAGGAGTGGCTTACCATGAAATATCATACAGATCACAGTAAAGACTATAGCTTTTACTGTGGTGAGATGAGAAACTAGTAGAAGAATTTAAACAGAAAAACAGCATGACATAACAAGTTTTAAAAGTATGATTCTGGCTGTTGTGTTAAGAATAGACTTTAGGGGCAAGGACAGAAACCAGGTAATCAATTAAGAGGTCCCTACTACAGTGATTTAGAAGATGGTCACTCATCCCAGAGTGACAGCAATTAAGATAATCAGAATTGATTAGGTTCTGGGCATTCTGTTTGTTTTCCCTCATCTCCTCTCTCCCCTTCTTAGAATAATTTCAACAGGTTTCATTATTCTATTTTCCAATATGAATACAAAATACATCCAGCAAATTCCCTTTCATTCATCCTTTTCTTATGTCCACCCTCCTCCCACTGGTACCCGTTCCTGGAAAAGACCTGTTTTACCTTCCCGTCCTTCATTCTTTTAAAAATGTATATTGATAGTCCAAGGGGATTTCACTTCGCTTTGGCATTTCAGGTATGTATATATCATGTTTTAATCACATTATCCCCCTATTTGCTTGTTCTTTCTCTATCATCTCGCCCCCTTATTATTCAACAGCCTACAGTGCATTACATATTATAATAACATATAGATAGAATGTTTCAATATTTTTCACTATCTAACTTTCTATTTCCCTCTCCTGCCTCCCATAGTTCCCTCAGGCAGACCCATGAATACAATCTTGTTCTGTCTCATATACACATATACACATATATGTGTATATATATCCATATATGTATTTATATGTACATTTAATTTATGCTATATGTACATTTAGCTTCCACATATGAGGGTAAACATGCAAAGATCTTGGAAATTCTTGCAAGTACAGCCAATGGGATGGTTTTCATGGACATATACAAATACAAAATAAGAGGCTGATAAAGGATGACTCCAAGGTTTTTAGCCAGACCAACTAGAAGGTTGGAGTAGCATGATTTTTAAGTAAAAGGGAAATATATGAGTGGAGCAATTGTGGGGGAGAAAGTGGCAGAAATGAGGACTATAACTTGATCAGGATATCAAGTTCAAAAGGCTAAGTAGGCAACTGAATATACAAATCTATAGGTAGCATAATATCTGGACAGGAGATATAAATTTGGAAGTCACTGTCAAGCTGATGCTATTAAAAGTCATAAAACTGGATAAACAAGTTTAAATAAGAGAAGAGGAACAAGAACTGGACCCTAGGGCATTTCCAATGAAAAGGTGATTAGATAATTCTAAGATGCATACAAAATACAAACATCCAAAAATACCTAAGACTTAATATAAAGCCACAATAATTAAGACAGACTGGTATTGGTACAAGGAGAGACAAACAGAAAAATAGCATAAAATAGAGAGGCTAGAAACAGACTCACACATATATGGTCATATGATTTACAACAGAAGTGCTAATGCAATTAGTGAGGGACTTAATGGTCTTTTGTACAATATTACTATGATGCTGAGGTAACTGCATATCTATAGGGAAAATTAATTTTCAATCCTGCTTCAGACCATGTCCCAAAATTAACTGAAGATAAAGAACAAAACACTGGAAGGTTTTGATAAAGCATCTAGAAGAAAACATAGAGGAATATCATCAGCTCTTTAAGATAATAAATAATTTCTAAAGTAGGGCATAAACAACACTATCCATAAAACAGGACATTAATACATTCAATTTCATTAATCAATTATTTTTGCTTAACAAAAGATGCAAATAAAAAAGCAAGTCACAGATTGGGAGAATATATATATATATATATATATATATATATATATATAAACGATTCTCAGCTAGTATATATAATAATATCATATACATTACATATTCTATATATATATTATATATTATATGTAACAATACTAAAAATGGAGAAGAGAGAGGTACTTTACAAAAGAGAATATATAAGCCATAAGAAAGAAGCTCATTATCAGTAAGTCATCAGGGAAATGCAAACTAAAATCACTTTGCCAAATGGTTTGGTGCTACCTAGGAGATAAAACCTACGCCTACCCTATAACCCAACAATTCCATTCTTAGGTACATCTCCAACAGAAATGAGAGCTTATGTACTACAGAAAACATGTACAAGAATATTCACTATAGCTTTATTCATAATCATTCCAAATCAAATGTTCATTGACATTAGAATCAATATTGAGGAAAATCTGTACAATAGAATACAAAATAATACTGTTGTAAAAAACATGGATGTATCTCACAGATATAATACCTATCAAAACAAATCAGACACAAAATAACTCATACTGTATGATTCCATTTATATTAAGTTCAAGATTAAAGTATAAAATAGTGGTCGTATTTTGTGATGCTAACTATGGGGCACAAGAAAGTTTTCAAAAGTCCTAGAAATATCCCATATTTTGGTTTAGATGGTAGGTATGTGCAATCTATCTACATATATTTCATATACACATATATAAACATATAAATGCCAGGGAGGTATGAAGAAAAACAGGAAATGTAATTTACTGAAAGCCAAGTGAAGAAAGTCATTTACCCAGGGGAAAAAGCAATTAAAAAAACAGAGACTTGACATTTGGATCAACAAAGTATACTTTGACCAGCATTTATGGAGTGGTAGGGAGCAGAGTGAGATGGAGTGATGAGATAATCTATTCAAGACCTCACAGTTAAAAGATAAAGAGATTTTTAAGTTGAAAGACAAAAGAAACAAATAATACAAAGGGATGCCCCAATTTGTATGACTGTTGATTCTCAGCAGAATCCCTACAGGTCTGTAGAAAATGGTGTAAGATTTGCACAATATTGAATTAAAAAAATAAATTAGCTGGGTGCTAGTGGCTCACGCCTGTAGTCCTAGTTACTCGGAGGCAGAGATCAGGAGGATTGCAGTTTGAAGCCAGCCTAGGCAACTAGTTCTTGAGACCCTATCTTGAAAAAACCCATCACAAAAAAGGGCTGGTGGACTGACGTGAGGTGTAGACCCTGAGTTCAAACCCCAGTATCGCAAGAAAACAAAACAAAACAAAACCTGTAAACCAACATTACTGCATTCAGCAAAATTAGAAATTAAGGAGTAGCCATACTCCTTAATAGATAAAATAGATAAAATAGATTTTAACTCAGAATCAGTAAAAAAGAGATGAGTGGTCATTATATAATGATAAAAGCATCAATTCAACAAGAGGAACTAACAATTTTGTATTTTGGAGCACCCAAATACAAAAAGCAAGTATTAGTAGACCAAAAAGGAAACAGATTGCAACACAATATTAGTTGGACACTTTAACCAATGGACAGAATATTCAGATAGAAAATCAACAAAGAAACATCAGAGTTAAATTGTACCCTAGATCAAATGGACCTAACAGATATCTACAGAACATTGTATCCAACAGTAGCTGAATATACATTTTCACATTCTTTAGGATAGATAACAAGTTTCAACTAATATAAAAAACTTGAAACTATATCAAGTATCTTCTCTGACTACAATGCAATAAAGCCAGAAATCAGTAGCAAAAAAGAAAAAAAAACTCTTTGGAAATTATGCAAACACTTGGAAATTAAACAACTAATTTTGAACAACTTGATTAGCTTCTTGAAACAAAGGAAATAGGACACACACATACCAAAACCTATAGGTACCTATTTCAGTACAGCAAATGCAGTACTAAGAGGGAAGTTTATAGCAATTGAAGCCTGCATCAGAAAAGTAGAACAGGTTGGGTGTGGTGGCTTATGTCTACAATCCCAGATACTCAAGAGGCAGAGATTGGAGAGAGGGAGGATTGTGGTTCAATGCTAGCCCAGGCAAAAAGTTAGCAAGATCCCATCTCAGTCAATAAACTGAGTGTGGGAGTGCTAGTTAAATTGGAGAGCACAAGTAGGAGGATCATGGTTTGAGGCTGGCCCTGGCAAAAACATGAGACCCTATCTGAAAAATAACTAAAAATAACTAAAGCAGAAAAGGGATAGAGGCATTTCTCAAGTGGTAAGAGTGCCTTCTTAGCAAACACAAGGCCCTGAATTCAATCCCAGTACCACCAGAAAAAGTAGAACAATCTAAATAAACAACCTATCACTGAATGTCAAAGGACTAGAAAAACAAGAACAAAGTAAACTCCAAATTTGTAGGAGGAAGAAATAATAGAGGTCAGAACAGAAATAAATGAAATGGAGACTAAAAACAACATAAACGATCAATGAAATAAAGAGATGGGTCATCAAAAAGATAAAATAGACAAACCCTTAGCTAGATTGACTGAGAGAATACTCAAAATCAGAGATGCAAGGGAAAAGATTATGACTAACACCACAGAAACACAAAACACCATTAAAGATTATTATGAACAACTATATGCCAACAAATTTGATAATTTAGAAGAAATGGACAAGTTCCTTGACACATACACCTTACCAAGACTGAATCACAAAAAAATAGAAAATCTGAACATACCAGTAACAAATAATGAGATTTAATTAGTAATGAAAAGCCTCCTATTAAAGCAAAGTCCAGGATCAGATGGCTTGGCTGCTGAGTTCTACCAAACATTTAAAGAATAACTAAAACCAATTCTCCTTAAGTTATTCCAAAATAGAATAAGAAGGAATTCTTCCAAACACATTCTATAAGACCAGCATTATTATGATACCAAAACCACATAAGGACACAACAAATAAAGAAAACTACAAGCCAGCATTCTTGATGAACTTAGATATAAAAATCCCCAGCAAAATATAAGCAAACCAAGTCCAATAGCACATTTAAAAGATTATTCACTGTGGGGAGTGGATTATGAGAAGCCTATGAGAACCTGACATAAGCACAATTGTGCTCAATGATCTACAGGCTGAGTTTGGCATGGCCCCAGCTGCAGAAGACAGCGAGAGGCAAAATGCAACACAGCTGCTTTTTCCTAAATTGTTTACATTCAGAGAAAGAAGTAGGAATGCAGGTTTCTCTTGTTCTGATGTCATGCCCCTCCAGAGAACTGTTGCCCTGCCTCCTTGTTTACCACTGGATATGAAGGAGGACACAAGGTTTTTTGATGGGAGATTTTTGATTGGCTGCCTACTTGTGAGGCTGCTGTGAGAATGACACTGCTGCTGCTGCAGCTGAGTTATGCTAGAGATTAGAGGAAACATGGGACAGTGAAAGTCTGAGCACCGAGGCTTTAAGAAAGTTAAAGAGAGAACATGGGACAGTGCAAGTCTGAGGACCTAGACTTTAAGAGAGATTAAGGAAAACATGGGACAGTGTGAATCTAAGGGAAGAGACTTTAAAGAATAGAAAAAAAAAGCAAGGTTTTAAAGAAAGACTTCAGAAGTAAGGCCTTAAAGAATAGAGAAGAAAAGTAGCAAAGTGAAAGAAGAGCTAATAGAGTAATAAAGAAACAAAGCTGTTGTGCATCTCCATCCGAGCACCCAACACACCTGACCCCAACTTCTATTGTTTGTCCTTTATGCATCTCCAGTTGCCTGCAGTTAGGTCAGAAGGAACAGAGCTCAAGAAGGCTCGCTACAATTCACCATGATATCAAGTGGAATTCATAATGAGGATGCAAGGATGGTTTAATATATGCAGATTGATATACAGTATATATGATATCAACAAAATGAAGGGAAAAAGCCATATGGTCATCTCAATTGATACAGAAAAGGCATTTGATAAAATTCTGTATCCATCCATGGTAAAAATGTTGAGCAAAACAGGCATACAAGGAACATACCTTAAAATAATACCATTTATAATTAGGCAACAGCTACACAGTGTTGAACAGGGGAAAGCTAAATCTTTCTCTCTGAGACCTATAACAAGACAAGGATGCTCACTTTCATCACTCTTATTCAACACAATGCTGGAGGTCTTTGCAAAGAATAATTTGACAAGAGAAAAGAAATAAGGGTATCAAATTGTTGCAGATAACTCGATCTTATATATAGACCCCCCAACTCCACCGAAGCTAATAGAAACTAATAAATGAATTCAGCAAAGCTGTTGAATTAAAAAAAGTTGCTGAATTCAAAATCAAAATACACAAATCAGTACTATTGCTGTATACTAACCGCATATTATCTGAAACAGAATACAAGGAAACAATCCTCATTATAATAGCTAAAATTATATATCTAGGAATAAATCTAACCAAAGTGGTAAAAGAGCTCTATAATGAAAATTGTAAAACACTGACGAAAGTAAATGAAAAGAACACAAAAAAGTGGAAAGTCATTGTATGTTCATGGATTATAATAATAGGTATTATTAAATTGTCCATACTACTCAGAAGAACTTATAGATTTAATACAATCCCTCTCAAAATAAAAATGAACTGGGAAAAAAGCCAATAAAGAAACATTAGTATTTTTAGTGTACCCTTGGCCAAATGGACCTAACAGACATCTGACATCCATATGGAGCCACAAAAACTCTAAATAAAGCCATTTTGAGCAAAAAGGACAAAGCAGGAGGGATTATGCTATCAGCTTAAAAATGTACTACAAAAGTAGAGTAATTCTTTTTCTTGAGTTCATTTATGGATAAGAATGTGAACATTGCTTCATGTATTTATTGGCCATTTTTGTTTCTTCTTTTCAAAACTGTTCAATTCATTTTCCCATTATTAATTAGATGACTTATTTCTCACCTATTAACATTTTGGAGCTCTTTATATATTCTGTATATTAATCTTTTGTCCAATAAATAGCTTGTAAATTTTTTCTCACTCCCCAAATAACCCCCAAAGTACAGTAATCAAATAGTGCATGGTATTGGCATAAGAAGAAACACATAGACCAATGGAACAGAACAGAGAGCTTAGAACTAAACCAACACATCTATAATCAACTGATACTTGATCAATGTCCTTTCATATTGGAGAAGGGATAGTCTTTTCAATAAATGGTATTGGAAAACTTTGATATCCACATGCAGAAGAATGCAGTTGGACTCCTATATTATACCAGTCATAAAAATTAATTCAAAATGGATTAAATGTAAGACCTGAAACTATGAAACTATTAAAAGAAAACAGGGAAATGCTTCAGGACATTGGAATAGCAAGGACTTTTTGGACAAGATGCCAAAAGCACAGAAGACAGAAGCAAAGATAGCAAATGGAATTACATAAAACTAAAAAGCTTCTGTACAGCAAAGGAAATAATCAACAAGAGCACAGAGACAACTTTCAGAAAGGTAGAAAATATTTGAAATGTATATATCTCATAAGGGGTTGATATCCAGAATACACAAAGAACTCAAAAAATTCAATAGCAAAGAGACATATAACCCAAATTTTAAAAGGTCAAGAGATCTAAATATATAATTCTTAAAAGAATAAAAACAAATAGCTAATAGGGACATGAAAATTGTCAATATCACTAATCATCAGGGAAATGCAAATTAAAACTACAATGAGAGATAACCTCATCCCAGTAAGAAAGGCTGTGATCAAAAAGACTAAAGATAATAAGTGCTGTAGAGTTTGTGAAGAAAAGGGAACCCTATCACTACTGGTAGGAATATAAATCCTACCAAAGAGAACGATATGGAGGTTACTCAAAAAAATAAAAATAAAACATCCATATGATCTAGCAATTCTACTATTGAGAATATATCCAAAGGAAATAAAATCAGTATGTTGAAGAAACATGAGCATTCACATGTTCATTGCAACACCAGTCACAATATCCAACAAACAGTGACAACCTAAGTATCCACCAACTGATGAATGGATAAAGAAAATTTGTTACATATACACAATGAAATATTATTCAGCCATAAAAGGAATGAGATCTTGTCATTTGTGACAACATGGATGGAACTAGAGATCATTATGCTAAGTAAAATAAGTCAGAGACAGAAAGACAAGTACCATATGATCTCCCTCATAGGTGGAATGTTAAAAGCTAATCTTATAGAAGTTAAAGTACAACTGGGTTATCAGAGGCTGAGGATGATGAAGAAGGGAAAGAATGGGGAAAGGCTGATGAGTGGGTACTAACTTATATTTAGAAAGGAGCAAGAAGCTCTGGCATACTTTTTGTGGAATGGTAACCACAGATAATAACCATGTACTATACATTTCATGAAGCTAGAAGAAAAGATTTCAAAAGCTTTCATCACAAAGTAGTGATAAATGTTTGAGGAGATAAATATGTTAACTTGATTTAACTACTACACAATATTGAACATTACATGGTGCCCCATGAACTTGTACAACTTTTGTTTTTCAGTATTAGTTAAAAGTAAAAAATAAGAGAAAAAAGAAAAGAGTATTTAGAAGCAGTGAGAAGAAAATGCTTGGAGAATTTTGCTGCAAATGGAAGCAGGAGGATAGAGTTGTAGCTAGCAAAGGAAGTGGATTACCATTATGGTATATTTTTAGATGAGTGTGAAAAGCCTATCTACATGCTGGAGAGAATGACCCAGTAGAAAGTGGAAAAACTAATTATTTGGAAATGGCAAGAATTTCTGGATCAAAACAAGAGCAAATGGAGCCTGTTGTAAAATAGAATAACTGGCTTAGATATAGGAGCAGTAACAGCAATTAGATAAGTATATAGGCACAAATGAAAGTAGGTAGGAAAATGTGGCAGCAGCAATCTGTGAAGATTCTCACTATTAGTTTGATTGGTTAGTAAAGAAGGAAGTAAGGTCAGAATCTTACAATGAGAGTAGAGAAGAAGGTATTCTAAAATGAGAAGAGAAGGTGCAGAATCAGAAGAGGTGGGAATTTGAAACTACCAGGGCCACCTTTAGTTTCAAGTGAGTACAATGGAGTGAGACAAGGACAAAAGAGTCAAGGCCTTATGAATGGAATTGATTGCAATGATTGATCATAGAATTCAAGCTAGGCTAAGAGGAAAAGGGCATCAAATAGTTAAAGTTGTTAGGTCTCAGAGGGGTTGAAGTAATACTGGAGTCAGGTAATAAGAGGTAGTAAGCTAGAAAAACAGGAGATAAGTGATCAGAAAATGTGATTCATGAAATTATTATGGAAGTATACACTATTGTTAATGAGATGGTCTTGGAATATGACTTATGGGAGTGAGTGGCTGAGGGGATGGAAATTACGATGTAGGGGGTTTTGCTGATGATTTGAAAGAATGAAAGAATGAATATGTCTGGGGATCAAACCTTTCTCTCCTTGTTCTCCTTGGAGTCCTTTATCACCTGGAGATCCTGGGGGACCTGGAGGGCCTCCCTTACATATCTCATCACCTGTGATTAGGTAAAGAAAGGATAATAAATTAATTGTTGTGAAATACCTAAAAGACTAAGCCCCCAAAAGCTTTAAAGGCTAAGAAAAATGATCTATTGTCAATTACTTCTCTGCAGAAATATAACTACCTATAAGCAAAATGAAGATGTGGTATTTTTGATAATAAATACAATTTAAATGTCAAAGAATCACCAAAATCCAGAAGTAGAAACAGCGGTAGAATCTCTTAGACATCGGAAACACAAATAATGATGCCAACTATAGCTAAAGTCACTTATAAGTGAAATTTAAAAAAAACAACAATAGAACTTATCAGGACAAAACATAGCTTACTAGAAGGGATTTGAGGGCCCGGAGGGCCAGGAGGCCCTGGAAGGCCAGGGGCCCCAGGCTGTCCATCAAGTCCAGGAGATCCAGGAATAGAAATTCCAGGTGGACCTTCATCACCTTTCTGGCCTCTTTCTCCAGGAAATCCAGGGGGGCCAGGAGGACCAATAACTGAAGTCCCTAAGATTAGAAAAAGCACCCATTAAACGATCAAAATGATCTAATTTTAGTGATATTACTTTGTTTCTCAACAAGACATCAAGTAATGATAAGATCTTCCTTTAGCATACTGTTGGTTACATTCTTATTTTTTTCTATGAGAATCAACATCTAAAAAGGAAGTAAAGTTCCGAATAATGTTAAGTAACAGTTTGAGTATAAGAAATAATAATTTAAGGTAACTATTACTTTTAGAAATTACTAATAACCCTCTACTCACCCTTTGACACGATGATTTTTTAATCTCAGAAATACCAGTAAGTTATCAATAAGAGAAAAAGAGGCATCACAAAGTGTTCATGTAAACATGGCTCTATTTCTGAACAGTTTTCAGTTCCACTGCCTATTCCTGTACCATTAACATACTTTTTAGTTACTACAGTTTTATGTTTTCAAGCTTGCTAAGGAAATTATATACATATTTGTTCTTTTTAAAACCTTCTTTACTACACTTAACAAATTTACTCTTCCAAATTCACATTAGAATCAGCTTGTCAGTTTCTCCTTTAAAAATCCATTGGAATTTGGAATGAGATTAATTTGAACTTAAAATTTTTGGTAGAGTCAACTGTTTATAGTATTTATCTCATATGAAGTCATAAATGTATCTATTATCATATATTATTTAATATGTTTTTAAAAGTCTGCAAAGATTTCTTACTTATCTTTTGCTGGGTTTAATCATTTGTTTTATTATTACTGTGAATTTCTCCACATCCATTGACCTGTTCTCTTTTACTCTATAAATGCAGTCAATTACAGCAATATTGAGCCACCTTTATAATCTTTGAGTAAAGACTACATGGTTATAATGCTACATTATTTTATAGACTTCTGTGATAGATTTGATATTGTATTTATGTTTATTGCTTCTATGTCCATATGAAATTGAATTGTACTTATTCATGCTGTTATCCCTTGGGTGGCTTGGTATCAAAGTTATTAAATTGTGCTTCCTTTTTAAAAAAATGCTCTGAAATAGTTTAAAATATGAGAATTGTCTGTTCTTTGACAGTGTGGTAGAATTCACCCATAAAACTATAAAACTACCCATAAAGACTATACTTTTTCATGGAGATCATTAACATTTCAAAATCTTCTATGGTAACTGATCGTTTTTCCTGCTTTCTCAGAACAATTTTAATAATTTGCTTTTTGTTTCATGAGGAATTTATATTTCATATAGAATTTGAAATATATTAATAAAGAATTATAAGTTTTTGTAATTTAAGTGTTCAATTTTGGTTATGGTAATATCCTTTTTTCTTTAACAATTTTATTTGTGCATTCCTTATTTTTGCCTTGATTATATTTGCCAAGTTTTATTTGTTACAAACTTTTCCTTTATTTTCCCTATTCAACTATAATTGTTTTTAGTTTTTATGTTATTAATTTTTCTGTTTTATCTTTGTCAAATTTTTTCTTTTATATTTTTGTGGCTCTTTCATTTCTTACATATGTACGTGTGTATATTTTAAACTAACTTTGTTTACTTTTTTTTATTTGCAGTGGGTAGAAATAGGAACTAGGGCTTTGTGCATGATAGGCAAGTATTCTACCACTGAGATAACCTCCCAGCACTCCCCCCATTTACTTTTATATTTCTAGTCTTGTAATATATTAAGGGTACCTCTTTGTCTATATTCAGAGCTTTGATATGAAGTGATTTATTGTTGCTTAGCATTCACTACTTTATTGGTTCCATTTATTTCTTCCTTATCATTGGAATTATTTTTAATTGTGTCTTGTGTGAAGATATTTGGTCCTTTTTGTTGTTATATTCTCACCTTATTTCACTGTGATCACAGAAAATGACCTGTATATATTTTAGATTTTTTTGGTCTTCTAGAGTCAATTTATGGAACTATTCCATGTATATTTGTACAAAATGTATATTCTTTGCTAAATACAAAGTTTCATCCCCCATATAGACAATTTGATTGTGTTGGTCAAATTGTTTGTATCCTTATTGTTACCTTCTTGATGTGCTGGAGATTTGTCCATTCATTCCATGTAGTTTGTGGGTTTTCAATTTAACAAAGCTATTTGTTAAATATGTAAAGTTTCATGACTTTTATTATCATTGTGGCATAATTTATCTATACATTCATATGAAACATCTGTCTCTTTAATGCATTTTTGCATTGAATTCTGTTTCATACTACATTAGAATTGGAAACCAGCTTTCTTTTTAATATTGTTTGCCTAGTGCATATGTATTTGCAGGTAAGTGGATGGAACTGGAGATCTTCATGTTAAGCAAAGTGAGCCAGGCTCAAAAAGACAAATGTCACATGTTTTCCCTCATATGGGGAAGCTGCACCTATAAGTTAAATATATATAAAGATACATAGATAATCGTATGTATGTATGTATATATATATAGTGAGAGAAAGAACAAAATTGTATTAGTGAGTCCAGGAGTACAGGAAACAGGAGAGGGAAAATGTTAGAGAATGAAAAGTACTGAAACAACTCATCTATACATGAATGTAACATAATGTACTGTATTGTAAGTTGTTGGCTATTAGGGGAGCATGGTGATAAAGAATGAGTAAATAACAGGAGGGGGGTTAATTTGATTAAAATATGATACATACAGGCCTGAAGCAACAAGGTGAAATCTCCTTGGACTATCAATATACACTTAATTTAAAAAGGGAAGGGCAGGAAGGAAAAATAGGTCTTTTCTGGGGATGGGTACCAAAGGGAGGTTGGTGGGCACAAGGAGAGGGTGAAGGAGGGAGAATATGGTAGATATATTTTGTATTCATATGTGAAAATAGAAGACTGAAACCCACTGAAATTATTCTAAGAAGGAGGGAGGGGGGAAGATTGTAAGCACATATGTAAATATCACAATATATCCCTGTACAACCATTATATGCTAATAAAGTAGTAATTAAAGAATAAAAATGTGTATATATATACATATATATGTATATGTATATATACTTTTATTTCCAAATTTCCTGTCTTTTTGCTTTAGATATATAGCAATTTTAATTTAGTGTCTTTTAATTGGTATTTGGTATTTTCACATTTGTTGTAGTTACTACATGTTTAACTTCTTGTCATTTGTATTTTCTTTTCTATTTAATCTGGGTTTATCTTTGTTCTGCCCCAAACTTAACTTTTATTGCATAGAGAGTTTTGGTCAGTTTCCCCTCACTGGTGTGTAAATTATCCAATACATTTCTATTCTGCTCTAATGGTTACTAACAAAATTTTAACCTACATGCTTAAATCTATATTTTTCTAAAAACTTACAGTTTTATTTTCTCTCTGGCTAACAAGACAAAAAAGCCCCTCTTATCACCAACTGACTCCCCTATCCTTTCTGCACCAACACATCTCCTGTTAATAATGTTTGCAATTATAGTTCCAGGTTGTTAATTAAAACACCTTTGTTATTTTTTAATGATCAATTAAATCAATACTCTGAGTATTAATCATTAACTAATATATTTCCTAGCCCTGGTTCTTTCATCCTGCCTCTTACCCCTACTTCATTCTGAATTCCTTCCTTTATTCGCAGAATAAAATATCTAGTAACTTTCAGAGAAGGTTTGGAAGTGGTAAACTTTCTAGGTATACCATCTTCACATGAGGATGATAGTTTGGTAAATACAGAATCTCAATTTCATAGTTATTTGTCTGTATTACTTTGAAAATGTGCTGTATTATCTTCCCTATATCTTATTGCTGTGTAGATAATCTTCCTTTTTTTTCTCAGACAGCTTTTAAGAATTTCTTTTTATCCCTAAATTCTGAAATATCCCTGCAATGTATCTAGTGACAAGTTTCTGTGTAATTCTTCTTCTTCTCTTGTTTAGTGCTTCAGGGTCTTTTTCATAGGGTTTTTTTTGTGTTTTTTTTTTAATTAGATGGACATTCTCAGTCATTATTTGTTTTCAAATACTACTCCTTGTCTCATTCTCTCCTCATTGAACTCCTTCATGACAGATTTGGGAGCTTTTAGGTTAATCCTTTATATGTTCATTTTTCTTTCATACTTCTCAGTTCCTTAACTTTTTTACATCATCTTGGGAGAATTCCTCATTTCAATATTCCAGACACAATATATATTTAGTACACCATCTTGAGATTAGAAATCCAAAGTACGTATTTAGATCATAATGGATCTTACATTTATTCTCTTCTCAGAAGGACAATACAGTGTCACTCATCTTATCATGCTAGTATTTCATTAGCTACATATATGTGGAAGCCAAGGAACCATAATTTATTCAATATGTAGGTGCGCTAAGTACTGTACCAGATGCTTTTGTGAATTTTATGTAAATCCCTACTATCAACTCACTTCAGAGAACATCAAAATAAACATGCTAGACAAGGGCAGTTTTATTTTTGGCCAAATTAGAAATGCTACACTGTAGTATGTATTTTCAAAGGGAATGATATAAAACTCAGTATTGAATCCTAAGATTTTATTGCACAGCAAAATCATCATGGGGATTCTTCGTTAGATGTTTCTGGAACTCTAAGTGGACAGTACTGCTTACCATTTTTATATAGGAAATCTTATAAAATTAGGCATTGGTAGCACAACATCTGCATCTCAAATAGTATGAAAAGTGTGAGAGTCATCTATTAGATCACAGAACTGTTTGGTATAATTGATTAACAATAAAAGATAAAATGGGATTCATAGGATAAAAGGGCACTACACTATTCAAATGGGTTTTTAAAAAAAGTATGAGGGAGTAATATTGTAAGAAAGGGTATAGTACAACTTGGGCAGAATCTGTCAATTAAAAAGTACTCATGTCTTCTGCCATCCTCACCCTAGAACTTGTATGATAAATTGTATATACGGATTAGTAAAGATGCTAAAACAAAAAGACATAAATATAGTTTCTTTTACCTGGAGGTCCAGGAAGGCCAGGTGGACCTTGTATTCCAGGATATCCTCGCTCTCCTTTTTCTCCAGGCAAGCCAGGTAATCCAGGGTTTCCTTTTTCTCCTACAGTCACACCAGTCCCAGGTGTAGGAATTACCTTTATTATGAAAGAAAAAAATAAAAGGAACTCAAAGAGGAAGAGGCTTATTTTCCTAAATGTAGACATATGATTATAATAATACTTAATTTTCTACTGCATAGATTGAGTCTCATTAAGACTACTACATAGAGTGAGTCATATTCCTTATCCTTATTCTCCTACTGATTAGAAAATGTCTAAACCAATAATAATATTACCACCTTTCTGAGTCCCAGGCTTAAAAAACTAGAAGTATTTCCACTGTCTCTTCTCTTATAATTCACATTCAATTCATTCTAATCACCTAGACCCTGACAATTCTTTGCCAAAAAAATCTCTCTTTTTGGCTATCTTCATTCTTCTTGCCAGAGCTACTGTCTTCAACTTACGCTTGGACTTACACCTCTGAGCTTGCCCCTTGAATTCAAATGTACTGCTAGAATATGCTTCCTCAGAAAACAATTTTCCTATGTTAACAACCCTGCTTAAGGACTTGAAATTTTGAAATTGCTTACTACTCTTTACTATATCTGATTTTACATTTGACCTTAAGCTGTGTCAAGAGCTGCACATTCTTAACTGTGCCTCTGCATATGCCACTCCAAACATCTATAACGCCTTCCCTCAGTCTTTTACTATGTCAACCTACATGTCTTTCTTCTTTAAAAAAAACTCATCTCTTCCAGGAAGACTGTATTGATTAAACCCAATCAGCTGATCGGACCCTTTTACTATGTCTTCTTAGAGCTCAGGACATAAGTGTATTCTAAAGAATTTCATATTAAAAAACCTAAATATTTAAAAATTCACCTCATAGGCCTATAAAGGCTTCAGATTTAGGAAACTGTCAGTCTGAAGCATAAATCAACACCTACTAGTAAAGTGTGATATTTCATTCTGCCTTTACTGGGTATAAAAAATACTAACATAAAAGGAGACCAACAGTTGTAGTGAACAAGGATTGGGATAGTGTTTCCAAGAGGAAAACAAGCTGCTAGATAGGACTGTACTCTCAAAATTTCCATTTCTTCTGATACGCATCAAAATTTTACTATGTCATTTTCTAAAGAGATTATTTATCTCCTTAGAGAAGTGAAATTCTGATTTTAAAATGAAAGTGAATAAAAAATTGTCTAAGATCTTTAAGTATATCCTCATTAAATTTAGTACAGTTATAAGTACTAATATCTATGACATTATACACAAATACTACTAAAATATAAGTACTAAATTACTAAAATATCTGGACATTTTGTGGCATTCACACTGTGTTGGTTTCAGTGCAGCCTAAAATCTAGGGTCTTATGAAATTTCAACCAAAGAAAAACTAAAAGGTTAAATCCTACAATGATGTTTTATCCTTAATATGACTGGAAATACACTTGACTTAAATTTCACGATGAATGTAAACATGACAGAAAAATCTGTAAGCTCCACAACTGTTCTTTCATAGAGCAGTTTCCTACACTTATTATTAAGATACCATACAAAGCACACATTCTGGAAAGAAAGAGGTGTGAATCAGACAATTACAAATTGAGAAAACCTATTAAGAACAAATCTCTGAGCACTGCAGGGGCAAGGACCAATCTCCACTGGCCCAAGAATTATTTTTTATTGAACCTTTGGAAGCAACACTTGCACCACCTGCTGGTTGCTTGAGAAATGATTTGTCAACCATGATGCAAAATAACCCAATGCCATAATTTTGAACTGTTAGCATGGAGAAGTAATACACAGGCAAAATTTTAAAAAGTCCCAGTCAATACTACTGAAATTTTTAGATGTAAAGACTTCTAAACCAAAAGAAGTTAGTAATGACTTGGATTTTTGTGTTCTATGAAGAAGAGGTACAAAGTATATCATTTAGGTAAAAAATGATAATACAATATTAAATTTGACAAATGAAGTCTTAAAAAACTTACAAGTCCAGGAGGTCCAGGTGGGCCAATGTCACCTTTTTGGCCCTGTTCAATGCAATTATAAAACACTTTAGTAAAAATCACATGAAAACATTAATTTCTTCAAGAACATAAGAGATAATTAACTTTCACTAAAGACTCAGAAATCAATAATAAAATACCTGAAAAAAGAAATACAACATGCATTAATGAAACAATACTGGGCTAAGCCTACGAACACCTGTATGTTGCCTCAGTTTATTAGCTATATCATCTTTGACTAAATTTTATTATGTCATTTTGTAAAGAGATTATTTATTTCCTTGGAGAAGTGAAATCCTGATTTTAAAATGAAAGCGAATAAAAAATTGTGAATAAAAATTAACCTCTCTGGCTTTAAAAAAACACAAAGATGTTGGACTTCTAGCTAAAGTATTCTTTGAATTTAAGATTCTTATTTTCTAGCAAACTATACATTCTTTACAAAGAGGATAATGAAAAAATGGCATCACTACAATCAGTTAAAACCATTCACAGACTTTACATTTATTCTTATTCCTTCTCACAAAGCTGTCAAGGGCATTAGTGACATATTTTCAAGGCAATGTACTTAACTATCTCCAGGGACAGTTAATAAATTGTAATTTTTCGTGAGTTTGCTTTTAGAAGCTAATGAAAGACAAATTCAGACAAAAACCTTATATCCTTGATCAGTAGCTATAATAGCATGCAGAGCACAATATTCAATTGTTAGTTTATTGGCCCAGATCCAAGAATAGATGTCTCTCTCACACCACCTTTATTCTGGTTCCAGACTTGTAGATTGAAACTTTTCATCTATGTTCAAACTCCTTTTAGTTTAAGGAGTTAAGCTGTTGTATAACTAACTCCTATTCTCTGAGTATTTGCTGCCTCCCTTTATTCATCTGTGCCTTTTAGGCCTAAGTACAACTTGGATCTAGTTTACAGAAAACCACAATTAAAATGTGTGTCTTCTTGATACAATCAAGTTTGTAACACCTATCCCTTCTTTGTTGAAAAACAAAGCTTTTCAGTTTGGTTTTGACATAAAGCAGTTGAGAGACCAGAGGGCTTGGAGGACTGAATATTTTTGACCTGCTAAAAATAGGGTTACTGTGTGCTTCATACATTCTTTCAAAGTCACTTTTAAGATAGGTAACTAAATAAATTACTTTAGTCAGGCTGCACTGGCTCAATGAAAACAATGACAAAGAATTAGCCAAAGACTTTACATTCAATAATTGCATATAAAATGGAAATGTTTTGGAAAGACATTCTAAATTTGTAACTTTAAAACTTTATAATAAAAGAACCTCACTAAAATAATGGTGAACCCTCTCTCTGGAAAACAAAAGTTTTGTCGATAAATGCTCAAAGCAAAGGCACTGATTTCACAATGGAAATACTAAAGTTAAATAATCCTGCAGGCATTTCCAACATATGGACTATGATCTGGGGCAATAAGGGAAAATTTAGAGGATAGCATATACAAAAAGAAAAAGAAGCAATACCAAAAGATGGATAAATAAACCATGTTTTGAATATAAAAACTAGTTATTTGTTTAAAAATAAAACTATCACATGATCTGGCAATTCCATATCTGGGTGTGTATCTAAAGCACATGAGATCAACATGTAAAAGAAATACCTGCACCCCTATGATCATTGCAGCACTAGTTACAATAGCCAAGATATGGTATCTACCTAAGTTTCCATTAACAGTGGAAGGAATAAACACACACACACACACACAAACTAGTTGTAACTTTTTCATTTATAACTCATCTTGGGAAAGAAAATGATTATGTTAATGAGAATAAAAACAGTCACTACAAAGTAATAAAGTTCTTACCTTTTCACCATCCCTTCCTGGTTCACCAGGGTAACCAGGATCACCAGGCAAACCCTTTAACACACAGTACAGGATGACATCAGCAAAAATAGCAGAGCAAGAAATTTGAAAAATCCTTCCTGCATAGATTCTATGAGAACACTGGCAAAAACAGTCCATCAAAATCAGCTTTTTCAAAACTATGGAAAACAAAGCTTACAGCAATCTAAGGAACATTTTGTTTGCTTTTAAAATCTTGATAAAAAGAGTTTTGTGGCATTTTAACTTCCTCTATTCCCATCACACCTCCTCAGCTTGTGAAAGCTTTTTACTGAGAAAGCTTATGTTCACACAGAAACTATATGTGAATATTTGCAGCAGGTTTACTCATAATGACCAAAACTCAGAAAAAGCAAAATACCCTTCAATGTGCAAATGGATAAACAAACCACGGTACATCCAAAGAGCCAAATAATACTCAGAAATAAAAAGGAATAAACTACTCATACATGGTACTATATATTATGCTATATGAAAAATTATGCTATATTGTATGATTATGACATACAATATGCCAATATTGTTATGACATTCTAGTATGCACAAAATATGGGGATAGAGACTAAAGCAGTAGTTGTCAGGATCTCAGAGGACAGAGTAGGGAAAGGGATAACTACAAAAGAACATTAGGGAACTTTTGAGGGTGATGGAACTCTTATATTATGATGGTGGTCACACAACTCTACATTTATTAAAACAAATAACTGAACACTAAAACGGTTTGTTTTGCTATCTATAAATTATATCGCAATAAATCTGACTTAAAATAGAAGAATCTCAAATTTATATTGAAAAGAGAGAATAATTTTCATTCATTTAAACTATTTCCAAACTTCAGACTCTCTGCCATCCTGCTTTTCTTTCACCATGACCTACAAAAATTATCAACTTTAGTGGGAGGTAAGAACCTTAGATACTCACTGGAATTCCTGGTTGGCCATTTTCTCCATCTTTTCCTGGTTTACCCTGTAGAATACAAAGAAATGATGAGGCAAGAGCATAGATTTGTTAGAAAGCATGAGATTAAAGAAAAGAATGAGCTTATTCCTGCATTGGACTGTATTATATTATATACTTTCAGATATCAATATTAAGTAATTATGTCAATAGTGATATTTTCAGACAAAAAAGTAGTATTTGAGAAGAAAGAATAAAATATGCATACATATTTAGAACTTTTCTGTAAAATAGTATTAGTAGCTGTAACACTTACTCTTTTGCCTGGCTCTCCTTGCTCACCCTTCTCACCTTTCACACCACCAGGAGGACCCTGAACACACAAAACAAGTAGTTTCACACTGGCTCAGGAGACACTGTGTATCAATACCAGTCTACATTAAATGATGCTAAAGAACTTGAGGTTACTTACTGGAGGGCCACGTATCCCTGGAGGTCCAGGAGGCCCTTGGTCACCAGGAACTCCCTATTCAGTCATAGGGGAAAGGAAAGCAACGTTAATACTGCATTCTCACTCTAAGTACTAGAGCTAGGAAGGCATACTTTTAACAAGCTGAACTATGCTCATGTTTGATAACCAAAGACAATAGACTGTTTCTAACTCAAAACTGAAGGTTAGATCAAAAAGAATTAACCTAGAAGGTAACACCCACGCACAGGAAATCAATGTGAGTCAATGCCCTGTATAGCTATCCTTATCTCAACCAGCAAAACCCCTTGTTCCTTCCTATTATGGCTTATACTCTCTCTACAACAAAATTAGAGATAAGGGCAAAATAGTTTCTGTTGGGTATTGAGGGGGGGAGCGGGAGGGGGTGGAGTGGGTGGTAAGGGAGGGGGTGGGGGCAGGGGGGAGAAATGAACCAAGCCTTGTATGCACATATGACTAATAAAAGAAAAATGAAAAAAAAAAAAAAAAAGAAATTAGAGGACTAGATGTAATACAGAGGCAAGAGGATCATGAGTTTGAAGCCAGCCTGGGCTATGTATCAAGATCCTGTCTGAGAAAGAGAGAGAGAGAGAGAGAGAGAGAGAGAGAGAGAGAATAATAGGATCAAACTAGGAGATAGATTTAATAAAAAAAAAAAAAAAAAAAAACTGAAATCTGGTAGGCAAAAGAACCTACAGCCATAATTGCTCCCTTAGCTAATTTCTAGCATATATATCAGCCCAGCTTTGAGGTAAATAACAACATAACACTTAAATGGAAATACTAATAATTTTTAGTCTTATAAAATATTTTATAAAAATGGCTCAATTCATACTGATGGTAGTTACAATACAATTTTTCCTTTATTCTTAACTTACTTAACAAAAAAGCACAAATTCTGCATGTGTGAGAGTGGGCAAGTATGTTTTAAAAGTATGTTTGATCCCCTCATCTACTCTAGCAAATGCAAGGCATCAGATAACTATTTCTAAACACAACAAATATTTTTTGCATTTTTGTAAGGATATATTTGTTGCACAGGGGGATTCATTGTGACAATTCTGAATAGCCTTACATTGTGCATTGGTTAGATTGCCCCTCACCATCTCCCTCCCTGCAACCCCCTCCAGGCCCCACTTAAAGCAATTCACAAGAGGTTTCATTGTTCTCTATCATATATGTATATGAAGCCCATCAACCATTTTCCCTCACCTTCATCTCTTCCATTCACCCTCCCCCTACCACATGGACCCCCACACACTGTACACATTTTTGTAGTTCTGTCTACCATTATTAATTCCAAAGTCAATGTTCAAAGGGGTTTCTCGATGTATCCCTGCTGTGAGTATACTTTACTCTGGTCAGGTCAAATCCCTTCTGTTACTTTCCTTTATCCCTTCCCTCCCAACACTATTATTCAACAGCTTTCATTACATATCATTATATCCTCTACCTGAACAGATGTAATATATTTAGATACTACTGACTCTCTATCATTCTCCTTTCCTTTCCCTCTTCTCCCAAGTTCCATAGAGTAGTTCCTCTATTACAAATATGTTCTACATATAAGTTTGTATATGATCATGTTTCTTTCTGTAAACACAGCAAAGATTTATACAGTTATATTATCTCTATGTATTAGTGAAATGTAGAAAACAGTCATCTAAAACAATTATAATTTACCTTATCATGACCTAATTTACACATGAATGTAATTCAAATAGCAAAAAATGGAAAGAACAAAATGTCCATCAACTGATGATGGGTAAACAAAATATGTACTATCTAGACAATGGGATATTATTCAGTAATAAAACACCAATACATGCTACAAAATGGTTGAACTTGAAAATATTATGCTACGTAAAAGAAGGTAGACACATGACTGGGGGTGTGGCTCAAGTGGTAGGGCATCTACCTAGCAAGTATGAGACCCTGAGCTCAAACCCCAGTACTGCCAAAAAAAAAAAAGAAGAAAAAGAAGTTATAGACACAGAAGACCACATATTGTATTATTCCATTCATATGAAATACAAAGAATAGACAACTCTATAGCGTAAACAAATAGATAGAGGTTGCCTAGGATTAGAGAATTTGGGAAGAAATAGGGAGTGACAACTAATATATATGGAGTTTTTGGAGAAGGCTGATAAGGGTTGTTTAAAATTAGATTATGATGGGAAGAAATAGGGAGTGACAACTAACATATATGGAGTTTTTGGAGAAGGCTGATAAGGATTGTTTAAAATTAGATTATGATAATAGTTTGACTACTCTACGAATATATAAAAATGAATTGTTACCTTTAAATTGGTGAATTGTATAGTATATAAATGATGTCCCAGTAAAGCTGTTTTTAAAAATTAAATTATACTAACTTCTAGGCATTTAAAAATATTCTCATATAGATCTATATTCCAGCTTATGATGCAATTTTAATGTAATGCTACTTCCATAGCAAGATTTTTTTAGCTTTTTAAAACTTTTTACAGCTTTAAGTTGTGGTTCACAAATAAAATTATATGTATTTAAGATGCATGACGTGACTTTTTTTTGGTGGTACTACAGTTTGAACTCAGGCATCATGCTTGCTAGGCAGGCACTCTACCACTTAAGCCACTCCACCACTTAAGCCACTCCACCAGCCCATGGTGTCTTGATATATATATATATATATATATATATATATATATAATATATATATATATATATATATGATTGCTGCAATCAAGCTAATTAACATACCCCTAGCAAGATTTTTACTGATTTCCTCCCTACCTACTCACCTGATCTCCTTTTTGAAACTCTACATCAATTGGTCTTTTCTGTTCACTGATTTGCCCAGGTGGCCCAGGTGGACCCTGAAGACCTTGCTCACCCTGTTTGCAAGAAAAAACAAGACTGTGATATTTCATAATATACTATAGACAGTAATATAAACATGTATGTACATATAAAACACATAAACTATATCAATTGGAAGAAGCAAGAAAAGGGAACTCACAGTTCAAATGACTATGAAAGGAGAAAGCTGAGGGCTGGATAACCAACTCTTTTTCCATACTCACCTTTTCACCCTTGGGTCCCTGGAAATTTAAGCCCATATTCCCCTAAAGAGAAAGGTTTCAGTTTAAAATCTCATTGGCAATATGAAAATGAATACATACTAAATGAAAGATATAGAAAAAGGAAAATTACCTTTGGTCCTGGCAATCCTGGTGGGCCAGGCGGGCCCTAAGAAGACATAGAAAAGGAAAAATATACTAAGATTATTTTAAAATTATTTGGCTTCATAAAAAGTGAGGAGTGAAAGCCCTTCAAAGCAATATTTTCAGGACTGGGGAGGTAGCTCTGTGGTAAAGCACTTGCCTAGTATGTTGAGGCACCACAAAAAAAAATTCCTATTGCTTTTTAGTCAAAAACATATATTTCAATTGGTCAATGAGATGAATGTGGAAGCTTGTGGTGACAGCATAGGAGAGGGCAGAGGCAGAAATAATGTTAGGATGGGTAGAGGAGATGGTGCACAGTGTCAAAATCAATCAAAGTTAACTTCAACAGAAAGTATCCTAAAGCAACGAACTTTAGTTCTAAAAAGCATGTATTCATTTTTTTAAACCAGTTTTGTTTTAGAAATGTAAAGGTTTGTGCTGGTGGAGTGGCTCAAGTGGTAGAGCACCTGCCTAGCATGTGTGAGGTCTTGAGTTCAAACCCTAGTAAATCCCAATATGGCCCAAAAAAGTTGGAAATTTTAAAGGTTTAAAAAATTAAATAGGCATTTGTCTGCCTAAGAATATCACCTCTTAATCTCAAGGGATATTCTTATTTATGTTGGTGGCATTTCTAAGGTTTTGCTTCACCTGTTAAATCAGAGTTAATTGTGGATTAATTTGGATAAATGACTATAAGGGTTAAGGCAGGTCAAGGTTTTTGACAACCTACCCAGGTACCACAATGTTGTAACAGTAGTTAAGAGAAAGTTCCACGGTACAGTTTCCTACTTTGCAGGAGGTCTATAACAAAGAAAAACTAAACAAAGGGGTCTTCTATTCCTTCTCCAAGGACTTCCAGGAAAGCAGAAATACTTTTTCTGGCAGATTCTTCTAAGATTTACCAAATGCTATTTCCTTCATTCAAGAGTAAAGGACCAATTGTCACAAACAAAAATTTATTGTCTCAAAAAGTATAATGACAACTGTCACTTAAATATATGGTAGATGGGAAGTAGAATGGCATATGAGAAATTACTTTGACTGAAATACAATCTCCGTGCCCTTTTAAGAGGGCAATAGCAAAGCTCTAAGTCTGAATCATGACTTGAATGAAATGTAAGTATTGCAGGGGTAAAAATACTAAGAATTAATTAGGGTAAAAGAGTGACCACAGAGTTAGTATAGTAAGAGAACTGGTTGAACACTTGGCATCTTTAGAAATTTCTTTCTTCTCTACCAGGTTATGCAAATCTATGAGCCCACTGCAATGATTATACCCTACTCCAATCCTATTTAGTACCTTCAGAAATAAGGGTCAACACTTTTTTGTGGAGCCATTTTTATTCTTCTTAAATTAAACAAAACCCTGCAGTTTGGAGAAACACGTTTCATGAAGTAAACAGATTTTATGAGAAGATTGCCTTATAAAATTTCCTGAGATGGCCAGAATTGACTTCAGTACTAACATATCAAGAAGCAAGCAGCAAAGTACTTTGGTTTAGGACTGGAGGTGTAGATTGCATAAGGCACTGGGTTAAAAAATTTTTTTTTATTTTTCTGAAGTACTGGGGATTAAACTGAGGGACTCACGTAAGTTAAACACTCAACCACTGAGTCACACTCCCAGCCTCCACTTTATTTGAACTATTTCCTTTCCACATATTTCATTTTTCCATCTGTAGAATGGAGATACTACTTTCAATGCATATTATTCACCTTAACATAAAGTTACCCTTAAATAACAAAATTATAATTATGAATATTGAAAAATGTAGCACACTTTCAAGAATTACACATAATATCAATACTTGTGGAAGAATTCAGAAAGAAAAGTGGGATAAATAGAATTACAGAACAAGCTTACCATTAAACCTGGTGGTCCTGGGGGACCAATTGGTCCTGGTATACCCATGGGACCAGCTGGACCCTGTTATAAAGGGAGTAAAGAAAAGGATGAAAAACAAAACAAAAAACTCTCAATATTAAGCCCCTCAATGTATCTTACAAAGAGCTAAATGGATGAAATTTAAATTAAGCTGTTGTCAGAATTCTGTTCTAAAATTCTGTAATTCTGTAGTATTATGAGCAGGATTTTAAAATGTATACAAATAAAGGTATTAAGTGATTTATTATAAAGGAATTCAATTAAATAAACTATATTCAGTTTTTAGAAGCTAATAGATAAACATATAAAGAAATTTATAAAATAAAGCAATAAAGATGGGCATTTAGTAGGGCTTTTATGCTAGAGATAGGGAGAAAAAGGATACTACTTTCAAGGTAGCCTCTATAATTATAGAATAAATAGAAATAAAGACAAAGAATGAAATGAGAATAACTGAGATAAGTGATAAGGGAAAGATGCAAGTGCTACCGAATACAATTTGGCCTCTTTTTAAAAATTGAAATTTTACCTGCCCTGAAAACCTGTGATTCTATACCTAGGTATAAATCCAGGATTATTTTGTAATGAAGTAAACTATAGTATATAAACAAGTGGAAAGTTAAATGGAAGAAAAACTGAGTGAACTACAATCATGTACCATAATATGGATAAATCTTAACATATCAAGTAGAAATAAACAAGCTGCAGAAAGTTGCATAAATATCCCATCATTTTTATAAAGTAAAATTAAAAACTCTATTGTTTAGGGACATATTTTTAGAATCAATGAAAAACTCAGGATGGCAGTTATATCTTGAGGCAATCCAGAAGGATGTGCTGCCACAGGTTGATTCAAAATTATTTGTAATATTTTTGTTCCTAAACGTTGTGTTGGGTTCATAGGTATTCACAATGTTTCATAAGGTGCATGTATTTTTCATGTATTCTGTTGTATTTTCAAGTATTCATAATAAAAATTCATAAGGTATAAAGGATAAGATTGAGGGAATTTAAGAGAATATGGAAGGGTAATGTCAAGTAAAGAATGAGAAGGGAGCTAATGAAAAAATGTCTCCAGCACTGTATCTTAGTGATCAAATAGCAGAAAGCTCTGATTTTTGTTTTTGGCAAAGGGATTGGTTCTCATGAATTATAAACCCAAGAAATGGATTTCCTAATTTATAAATATGCAAAAGTCATAGCTGAGGCATAGTGGCGTATGCCTGTCATCTTGGAGGCAGAGGCAGTTGGGTCTCATGTTTAAGGTCAGCCTGGGCTACACAGCAAGCTACAGGTCAGCCTGAGCTACACAGTGAGATTCTGTCTCATACAAAACAACAAAAACCCATACATTACTGTAGCATGTTATCTGAACACTAATATAATTTTTTTCTTAAATTTACATTTGATGCTTATCATGCATAAACTATATTTCTTCGGCTTTCAAAATATGTTCGGATGTTATCCATAGTTGATAATGTTACCAACGACATTTCAAATATCTTAAATGGGAGACATAATTTTTGTTTTTAATAAGAATATTTACAGGGGAACCTACTATTCTCCAAAATGTAAGAATAAGAATATAGAAATTTACTTATGTTGCCAATCCACCCCTCAAAAATGTCAATGAACATTGGATAGAAAGGTAAAAGAATATGATAGGGCTTATTAAAATTGTCCCTGGCTCTATTTGCTTTTATTTTTTTGGTAGAAAGTACAAGAATTCCTGCCAAATGTCAGATAATAATTTCTATGTCTAAAATAGAGGTTATTGAAAATTGAGGACTTGCTGTGATCTTTTGATTTAGTCATATAAAAATCACTGGATGCTTACTTGTATTCCAGGAGGACCTGGATATCCTGGATTACCCTTTGGTCCTGGCAGTGATGACATGATTATACTACCTGGTTCCCCCTAAAAGAAATCAACAATAGAAGTTGTAATAGTTATTATACATGAAAATAAGCAAGAATACAAATAATATGAGAATTCAGTTTATCACAAAAGTATATGACAGATTAAGCCATCTCAGTAATTTAATGAACAAATTTATCTTCTAAAGGAAAACGAGGAAATATCCATGGCATACTGAGTACAGGAAATTTATTAAGAGCCTATGATACCTTCAACTACTCATTCATTAAAAATATATATTAAATATGAAGTATTTTTCAACTGTTGTGTATAATTGGTAATTAATATTCTCATTGGGCTAATAATATAAAGGGGAAATGCAGACTATAACATGCAAACACATAAAATGACAATATATTCTATCAACTGCTATGAAGAAAATCAACACGACACATGAGTGATAAGGAAAGTGTGGAGAAAATTCTATGATGAGAACATTCGAATCTCAAGCTGAAGGATAGCAGAGTTTGGCACATTCAAATAACTGAACACAGGACTGAGGATGGGGCTTAGTGGTACAGTGCTTGTCTAGTATGTGGGAGACACTGTATTTGATGCCCAACACCACAAAACAAAAAATAATTTTGAAAACCAAATGAATGAATGAAGACCCATCATCAGTGAGCCAGGGAAAAGTGGTTTAAGATGAGGCTGTAAATTAGACAGAGTCCAGAACATGCAGGTCTTCCAAACCATGGAAAAGAATGTGGACTTTATTTTAGACACACAGTGGGAAACCCTTAAATATTTACACACAGGAGGATCAAATTATTGATTTTTACTTTCAAAGATCATTTTTGGCTGGTTGAGAATAAAACAGGCTGGGATGTGGGGGATAGTAGTAAGAAAAGAGACTAGTTAAGAGGTTACTATAGTAATTCAGACGAGACCTTATAGTTAGTTTGGTGACAATGGAGAGGAAGAGAAGTGAATGAACTTAAGATACATTTTAAAGGGAAATGTAATAGTATTCAATGACAGAATGGAATGAGGATGTATGTGAAAGATGTGAATACTAAACCTCAGGCTTTAAGTTTATGTAGAAGTGTACATAATGATGCAAATTTTGTATGTGGGGAGCCAGAGGGAAGAGCAGGTTTATTTGGAGAAAAAGGTTAACTTGGAACATGTTAATTTAGATGTCTGGGAGATATCTGAGTGGAGATGTCAGGGAGGCAGTTGAACACATGCATCTTGAACTCAGAAGAAAAGTGTGATCTGGAGATATAAAGGTAGGTATTCAGTAACTACATAGTAATCAATACTATGAACATTAATATTGCTAGACATAGAAGAGAAGGAGTCAGGACTAAGTCTTGATGATTCTGGGATAGTACAGAACGAGCTTTCATAAAAGACTGCAGAATAATCAGAATGCAATGGAAAAATTAGGAAAGGAGAATGTCACAGAAGCCAGAGGAAAAGAGTATTTTAGAACAGATGGGCAATGGAATCAAAGTGTAATAATAACACCAGGACTGAAGGTGTCAGAAAAGAAAGCTAAGTCTGATATAAACAATTTCAAATATATAAGCATATAGAATGTACTTAAAGCCATGGGAACAGAGGAGAGTTTCTGCTTATGCATCAGCACAACTTCTAGAAGCATCCATTTTGAGGTACAGGTTGGATCATTATCTTACTGAAGTTGCAAACTTTCCATTATTTTATTCAAAGTATTTACCTTCTCAGCATGAGATGCTTACCTTCATTCCTGGGATCCCAGGAGGTCCCTATTATTAAAATGAAAATTGATTATTTTACATAATGAGAAGGAGGTGAAAAAATCAACACACACTTTCTAAATAGAATACAAACTGAATAAACTATTCTATGGTTATTACTGAGTATGATATCTCTTAGAATACTAAGAGATAACATACATTAAATACCATGAAATTTGGCACAGCAGGGAGCTATCATACCAAGTTCTTTTTAAAAATTCTTTAGTTTGCAACTTTAAAAATAGTATTTTATTTCATATAAATGCATTGAGCTCACTCTCAATACTTCTGCTTTTTCAGTTAATTCCCGGGTTTACTATAATCCTGAATTTTAGAACTTACTGGAGGACCCTGTAAGCCAGGATAACCGGGACTGCCTGGAAATCCACGTTCTCCCTAGGAGGAGTTAAATAAAGAGTGTAGAAGAACAAGAAACAAAGAATTATACCAACAAACAATGACTTCTTAAAAAGATTTTTGTAAAAGCCATTTTGAAACATTCCAGATTGCTAAAATTCATTAGATTTCACTTTCCAATTATTTCAATATCAACTATCCATATCAATTGAACCGACCAAGATACTTTTATCTGTCCTCATCCACCCCAATCAAAAATAAAGCAAAATCTTTTGCCTTACTCATTTTTATTCTGCCAAATCCATTTTGAGACCATCACACCACAAATTTCTGACTATTACTACATTTAATAGCCAATGATTTGCCCCAATTTCCTGAACATGTGTTATATAGAATCTCATTTTAACTGACCTGCTGCATTTTTCTTTTACTGTAAACTATTTCAAATTATTTTTGTAAAAAGGAAAAAATGGCAAGAAAGAAGGCCATTAATATCACCAACAGGACAACAGCAATAGTTCTAACAATTGTAAGACATTACGTTTTCTAGGCACCCAATTTTTCCCACTCACTATTTTAAAGTACTAATATGGATGTTTGGTTTAGAAAACAAAAGCTAAAACTGGTGTAGAAGAACCCCAACACAAACTCTTTTCAAATACATATACACTATAGTAATCCTGGAAAGAACCTTGTCAGGAGGTTTAAAAGAGTAAAATTACTATGGCTGTATGCCTTTGAGCTATTGTTTGATACTCTTCTCTCTACCACTTTTTTGGGGAGAGGTTTTTTTTTTTTTTTGTCTTTTCTTTTTTGGTGCTGGGATCGAACCCAGGGCCTCACGCATGCTAGGCAAGCGCTGTACCACCGAGCTACATCCCAGCCCTCTACCACTTTTTATACAGGCAAAATGTGGGCCCAAAGAGAAAGAAGTAACCTGTATATCAAGTTTAGAAGACATTAAAAAGGAATAACATTGTAGCTCCAACTCCAGTATTAATCATTTTGTTTACAAGTGAGAAAACAATCTAATGTGAAAGTATCCGTAATAAATCCATTTAATTTGTTTAAAATTTATTACTCACATAATTGGTGGCCTAAAACACAAAAAATCATTACGTCTGTCAAGGTGCTACTTTACAAAAATTAAAAAATAAAGATCCTTTAATCATATAGATACTATCTATACTCATTGTAGATACATTTGACCTTCATATTAAAGCTTTTACTACTGGTCTATTTGTTGCTTAAAGCATGATGGAAAAAAATCATAAATAATTAACCAGAATAAGAATAAGAATGTAGTCTACTTTCACATGAAATGTGTCATGCAAACTAACTCCCAATGGTATACCATCACTAAAGGATGCACCAGCCCAAATGAAAAACATAAGTAACCCCACAAATCCAAATGTTTAATAAATGATGGAGGGGTGAATTCGACTATGGTATATTGTAAGAGCTTTTGTAAATGTCACAATGTTCCCCCAGCACGATAATAAAAAATGAAAAAAAAGAGAATCGTATTGCCTTCACATATATACTACAGAAAGTATCAGAAAATATGGCAAAATAGTTTCTTCAAGTTATTTTAAATGTATTCCCTAATATAAAACCTGGCACATGTCATTAATTAGAAAGATATAGGGTATTTCATGAATAGTTTCACTGAATATTATGTGGAAAACAGAAAGTGCCCAAGGGGACAGATGAAGTTGCTTGCACTTGTAACCCCAGCTACTTGGGAGGCACAGATTAAGAGGATAGCAGTTTGAGGCCAGTATGAGCAAAAAGTTAGTGAAAGAGACCCCATCTCAATCAATAAGCTGAGCATGCTTGTGCACACCTGTGATGGCAGCTATGCTGAAGCTGAAAGTAGGAGGATCATGGTCCAAGGCTGGCCCCAGACAAAAATGCAAGTCCCTATATGAAAAATAACAAAAGCAAAAATGGACTTGGGGTGTGGCTCAAGTGGCAAAGTGTCTTACCTAGCAAAAAGAGGCCCTGAGTTTAAACCCCAGTATGGCCCCCCTTAAAAAACTAGAAAATAAAATGCCAAATAACATACAGATAATACTATGTTGCATTTATCTCAAGGAAAAGAAGAAAAGTGGAGAACGGAGTCTAAAATATATAAATTTGCAGGAAAACTAAGTTTGCCTCATTGTCTTATCTGTAACTATATATCAATTCCAAATAGTTGATTAAAGACAAGAAAAGTGGCTCAGAAAAAAATGTTTGCCATTTCTAAAGATACTGTTTTATTTATAAATTATTAAATGCAGTTTTTGCTAATGAAAATGAGTTCGTAGTTTCATACTAACAGTTGAGCAATTTAAAAACTAAAAGATGCAGCCTTCACTGTTTTGATTCTGTGAATGAGAAAAGTCAGGTAACACATGAAAGACTATATTTTGAAGAGAGGAAGAGTATCAGGAATGACAAAGAGATAGCAGGACGTCAGAAAAACACGGAGAAACCAAGGCAACAGAGAAAAGCAGCAAACAGTTCCAAGACTCCTCAGCTTCCCAGGAGGGACAGGAAGCTGAAGATGCCATCATATAATAAGATAGACAGTTTTGCCAACAGACCGGCAATTCTAGCTCCAAGGTAACTCATATCTCCCACAAGTTTGAACCCCAGTAAGGAGATTTGTAAGACAGTGACTGCTCTGCTGTGGAAGGCTATTCTTAGTGAAGAAAGACATTATGTTCCTTAATTTGGAGGGAGACAGCAAGGCACTATCTTGAGAGAGGGCCTATTATTTGAGACAGGGGGCATGAAAATAAGGAACACTCACAGCTCAGGGAGATTTGGGACACCCTGCCAAGGTAAGAGGGTAGGAGACAGCAACAACAGGTGGCCAAAGAGACAGAGAGGTTCTGACATGGTTCCACAGAGAAGTTCAACAACTGGGAACTCCAGCAGCACCAGGTCCCAGTCAACCTCCAGGGCCAGTCTCTTGGCTGCATGGGTTGACTCCTAGGTGGGTCAGAGCCCGGTTCAGACCTCTGACTCATGCATACCCACAGCTTGTTCTTCCCTCTCACAGGGACAAAAATTGTCAAGCAGATTTCTGAAAGCACTGAGACCTGCCCCCTTACTCTGGGAAATGGATCCTTGCATGTGTTTGCTGAGCCCAGGATCAGATGAACTCACTACCAAATTCTATCAGACTTTTTTTTTTTTTTGATGGGACTGGGGTTTGAACTCAGGGCTTCTCACTTGCAAGCAAGCACTCTACCCCTTGAGCCACACCTCCAGTCCATTTTTGCTCTGGTTATTTTAGAGATGGCGTCTCATGAACTATTAGCCTGGGACGGCTTCAAACCTCAAGCCTGTGGATCTCAGCCTCCCAAGTAGCTAGGATTACAGGAGTGAGCCACCAGTGCCTATCTGTCTACCAGACTTTTAAAGAGGAAATAACACCAAGGCTTCTCAAACTATTCTATAAAATAGAAAGAAAAGGATAACTCCCAAATATTCATTCCAAAACAAGGCAAGGACACAACAATAACAACAAAAAAAATCATATACCAATCTCTTTAATGAACATAGATGCAAAAATCCTTAATAAAATACTTGCAAACCGAATTCAACAAGTTAAAAAGATCATACACCATGATAAAGTTAGTTTCATTCTAAGGATACAAGGACAGTTCAACATGTGCAAATCGAGAAGTATAATACAGCACATAAACAGAAGCAAGGACAAAAATCACATGATCATCTCAATAGATGCAGGAAAAGACTTTGACTAAATTCAGCATCTTTTCATAATAAAAGCTCTGAAGAAACTAGGAATAGAAGAAATGTGCCTCAATATAATAAAGACTATAATAGGACAAATCTACAGTCAATGCCATACTAAACAGGGAAAAACTGAAATAATTTCCTGTACAGTCAGGAAGGAGACAAGGGTGTCCACTCTCCCCATTCTTATTCAATATAGTACTGGAATTCCTAGCCAGAGCAATAAGATGAGAAAGAAAGAAAAAGGATTCAAAACAGAAAAAAAGAAGTCAAATTATTCCTATTTACTGAGAATATGATCCTATACTTAAAAGACCCTAAATATTCCACCAAAACACTCCTATATGTGATAAACACTTTTAACAATATAGCAAGATATAAAATTAACATACAAAAATCAGTACCTTTTTTACATACCAACAATGAGCAGGCTGAGAACGAAATCAGGAAAGCAATTCCATTCACAATAACCTCAAATATATATACATATATATGTGTATATATATAACTGAAGAGGTGAAAGACATCTGCAATGAAAACTATAAAACCTTAAAGAATGAAGTTGAAGAAGACACTAAAAGATGGAAAGACATTCAATGTTTGTGGTTTGGCAGAGTTAATATCGTGAAAATAATTACACAATCAGAAGCAATCTATAAATTCAATGCGATGTCCATTAAAAATCCAATGTTGTTTTCACGGAAATAGAATAATCAATTCTAAAATTCATATGGAACCATAAAAGACTCCGGATAGCAAAAGCAATCCTGAGCAAAATAGAGCAGCAGTGAAGGTATCATAATATTGGACTTCATATTATATTACAGAGCCATAGTAACAAAAACAGCATGGTAATGGCACAAAAACAGAAATATAGATCAATGGAATAGAATCAAAGATCCAGAAATAAACCCATACAGATACAAACATCTGGTTTTTGACAAAGGGACTAAAAGCATATATTGAAGAAATGACAGCCTGTTCAACCATGTTGCTAGGAAAACTGGTTTTCTACATGTAGAAGACAGAAACTACACACCTCTCATCCTGCATAAAAATCAATTTGAAATGGGTCAAACATCTTAATGTACCATCTAAACTTCTGAAACTAGTTGAGGAAAACACTGAAAGACATAGCTTTAGGCAATGATTTTCTGAATATGATTTCCAATACCCAAGTCATAAGAGCAAGAACTAACAAATAGGATTGCATCCAATTAAAAAGCTTGTGCACATCAAAAGAAACAATTACCAGAATCCAAAGACAACCTACAGAATGAGAGAAAAATTTTGCCAGCTCTTCAATGGATTAAGGATTAATATCCAGAATATACAAAGAGCTCAAAAAATTAAACACTAAAAGAACAAATAATCCAATTAATAAATAGCCAAATGAATTGAACAGTTTTCACAGGAACAAGTACAAATGGCTAATTAATTCAACATCCTTAGCCATAAAGGAAATGCAAATCAAAACGACACTGAGATTCCATTTTATCCCACTCAGGGCAATCATCAAGAAAACAAACAACAAATGCTGGTGAGGATGCAGGGAAAAGGGAACCCCTACATACACTGCACACTTTGGTGGGAATATAAACTAGTTCAGCCAAGATAGAAATATGAAGGTTCATCAAAAAACTAAAAATAGACCTTCCTTATGACCCTGCTATACTACTGTTGGGCATATATCTGAAGTAGTATAAATCAACATACAAGAAACATAGTTGCATACCCATGTTTACTGCAATACTATCCACACTAGCCAAGCTGTGGAATCAGCCTAAGTGCCCAATAACCAATGAATGGATAAAAAAATGTGGTATATAGCCAATGGAGTATTATTCATCCATATGAATAATACAGGGGAAAAAAGATGGAACTGGACACCATCATGATGAGTGAGATAAGGCAAACTCAAAAAGTCAAGTATCACATGTTTTTCTCATGTGTGGAATCTATACCTACAATGATAATTATAATAATAATAGTAATAATGGAATATGAATGTAAAAGGGGGACTGTCTGAGGAGGAATCAGCAGGAAGAGGGAGGGAGAAAGGAGAGGGTACTGGGGAAGTAAAGAGGATTGAAGTATATGACATATCTATCTATCTATCTAAAGATATAATGAAGCTCACTAAATACTGTTTGAAAGAGGGGAAGGAGCGAGGAGAACTGAGGGGATATAATGGAGGTGATGAGCTTTTTCAAAGTACACTATATGCATCTATGAAGTCATCACAGCAAAAACCCCTTATACTATTAATAAAAAAGAAAAATAAATAAAACATGGAATGTTCCAAAATTTAAATTTTACCTATTTTTTTAAAAAGGCAAAACAAATGAATGACATTCCCAAGCATTACTCTTAACAAATGATATATTATTTGACACACATACATCCTAATTCCCTTTTAATTCACATCCAGTTTTACACCAAAGCCAAAAAAGGATTTGGTAAGTGATATTTAATCTTTAATATAATGCAATATTTCAGCTAAGTACACATGCTTTTATAAAAATGAAATTACTGATATTTAATTGAGTCAGAACACCCCTCATATCCTAGACATGAAATCAGTATATTGCTTCTTAAACATTCTTAATAATGATTTCTTAGATTTTAAGCTAATTATTAACAGGTATAATATTAAGTTGAAGAAGTCTCACCTTGGTTCCATTGCATCCAGGGATACCTTGAGGTCCAGGGGCTCCATCATGACCTGGTATTCCCTTTGAAAAGGCACATAATACATGTGTAATATTTCTTAGATTACAGTTTAAGGGATTTAAAAGAAATCTAAATCATACTTACAGGAAGACCTGGTGTCCCTGGAAATCCAGGAAGTCCAGGAGAACCCTATAAGAAGAAATGAATTCCTTGAAGCGAATGACAACCAATAGTAATTAAAATAATATCCTACCCAAGGGTATTACAAAAATTATATTTAGAGTATTTAGAGTAGAAATAGACAAAATGTGCCTCACTGAGTATTATTATTATACATTGTTGTTTTAAAAATTAGACAAAAGCCTTTTTCAGAAAACTACAGAAGACGAATCATATTTGCAGCAGTGTGGTCCCCATTGCACTGAGTAGGAGCAAGCAAAGTATGGATGATATGTCGGTTGTGACAGGTAACACTCTTCTAGATCTGTGATGAACAATGAATTCAGCAGAGAATGGGGTGTGATCAGCCAAAACATTCTTCAATTAAATTTTCCTGTCAGGACTGGCACAAATACAAGCTTGACATTTTCTGTAGGTGAGACTATAGGCAAATGGTACTCTTGTACACTGCTATTAGGGATTCAAACCTTATGGCAGGAAATTTGGAAATATCTACCATAATTACAATTGCATATTCCCTTTAATGTAGCAACTCATGTTTACAAATCCATCCCAAAGATACACTAGAAATTATGAACGAAATTTAATATTCAAGGTTTGTGGTTGCTGCATTATTATAGCTAGATCTAGGAAATGCAGAAGATCCTCCTGAAAGTTCTTGTGCCAGAAAGCAAGAAAGTCATAAAAGATCAATGAAGTTTTTGTCAAAAAGACACAGGACAGAAGCCAACCCTGAAGTGGGTTTCCATAGGTCAAGGATGGGACAATCTGGGTTTCAAAAAGAACAATAACTAGGGCTGGCAGCGTGGCTCAAGTGGTAGAGTGCCTGCCTAGCAAGTATGAGGCCTTGAGTTCAAACACCAGTGTTGAAAAAAAAATAACTGAAACTGACCGAAATTCTAAATTCTATGTGTTTATAATGAAAAAAATAAAACCTTTCTTGATCACAACTTGAAGTTGCTGGTATAGCAACTCATTAACCTATTAAAATTCCTGATGATAAATAAAAATTCTAGCTAAGAAATGAAGGATTTAAAAAAATCACCTTTTTGCAATTCTGAAAAAAAAAGATCATCAGTGGATGCTAAACCATTAGGTAAAAGTTGATGGGGATCAAGCTGATGCTACCTGAGATCTCTATTTAAATCTAGTGTCAAAACGTGGGACAATGAGATATTTGTGCCTCATCATGTAATTTAATAGTAAATACACAATACAACCTATAAGGTGTTCTTTTTCCTAGCTTCTTTTATTGAAGTATGATTTACATAAAGTACACAAATCTCTCTCTCTCTCTCCCTCTCTCTCCCTCTCTCCCTCCTCACCCCACTCTCTCCAGGGATCAAGTGTTTGTCCTGCCTTGGCTTACTGAGAAGCTGGGACTGCAAGTGGACACCGCCACACCCAGCTTGAAATACAAAAACCTTAGTGTAGAACTTTGTTTATATCCCCAGAAAGTATTCAAGTGTCTCTTGCAAGGCAACTCCCAATTTATAGGAAATTATGGGGTACAGAGGAACAATTTAAATGACATCATGAAGAAGCAACCAGGCAAATTCAGAATGTGGAATGTGGTACAATTCAGTTGACCCCGTTTTTCCAATGGCATAACAAAAGAGGCTTAAGAAGCACAAAAACTAAATGTAATGCAAGGACTTGCTTGGATTGGGATCTGAATTAACCAATTGTAAAAAGACATCTTTAAAACAATCGAGGAAATCTGAATATGGACTGAATTTTAGAAAATATTGAAGAAGTAATCCTAATTTGTTAAGGTATGACAATGGTATTGTGGTTTTGTGGATATTAGTTACAGAAGTATACTTAAGTTTTCATTGATGGAATAAATGATGTGCAGGATTTACTTTAAAATATTCCAAAAATAGTGGCAGGGAAGAGATTAAACAGAATTGTAAAAATTGTTATATTCTTTTGAAGTTGGAGATGCACACATAGGATCCACTGTATTGTATAGTCTACATCTGTATACACTTAAAATTTTTCATTTAAAATCTGTACAGCAAGAGTTGCTCACAAGCTGAGACCTGATGATGCAAGAAGTATTAGGCTCATAAAGAAGAATGAAATTATGTTATTTTCAGGTAATAGAGGGTACTAGAGAACATCATTTTAAGCTAAATAAGCAAGGATCAAAAAGTCAAAGGTCACACGTTTTCCCTCATATGTAGAAGCTAGACCTATAAGTGTACACATCAATAATATATGATTATATACATACATATATATATATATATATATATATATATATATATATATATATATAATATAGTGAGTGAGAGAACTAACTTGTATTAGTGAGCCTGTGAGGGAACTACTACAGGAGGCAGGAGAAGGAAAGAGAATGTTAGAGAATGAAAAATGTTGAAACATCCCATCTATATATAAATATAATAAATGCAATGCACTGTAAGCTGTTAGATAATAGGGGAGCAGGGTGATAAAGGGTAAGTAATGGGGAAGTTTAATCTGATTAAAGCACAATAAATAAATGTCTGAAACGCCAAGGCGAAACCCCCTTGGACCATCAATATACACTTTAAAAAAATTAAGGAGGAATGGTGGAGTGGTTCAAGTGGTACAGCACCTGCCTAGCAAGTGTAAGGCCCTGGGTTCAAACCCCAGTACCGCCAAAAATTTTAAAAAACTAAAAAATGAAGGAAAGCAGGGTAAAACAGGTCCTTTCAGGAGGTAGGTAGCAGAGGGGTGGGGCACAAGGAGAGGATGAAGAAGGGAGAATATGGTGGATGTATTTTGTATTCATGTATGAAAACAGAACAAAGAAAACTGTTGAAATTGTTCTAAGAGTGGGGGAAGACTGGAGGGAAAATGATGGAGGGGTAAATATAGCTAAGATATATTGTAAGCACAAATGTAAAGATCACAATATATCTTTCTGTACAACTAGAAAAAAGAAGTATTAGGCTCCCTTTTCCCCAAAGTAGAGGCACATGGACTATCCAAGTGCTCCTCAATATTTGGAAATGGAAATTGATAGAATGACATTCTTTTTACTCTCCATAGTGCTGAGCATATAGTAATGGTAGCTATACCTATCATGGGATATATTACTATTATGAGGATCTTAATTAGAATATTGGTATACATTTATTATAGAAAAAAAGAATTATGTCTGCTAAAATAAACTAAGGGTTTTGAGTTTCTTCTTTGTTTTTCTAGTACCCTTCTTACACCAGTCATAGGCACATAAGGAAAGATACATGTTTTTTAAAAATATAAAGCAAATAGAATATTTTAATCTTACGTAAGTTTTGTGCATCTAAATATCTGAAATCAAAGACTCAAAATGTTTGGTTGTTTTTGTCATACACATAAACATTTTGTCACCATCCATGTATTTTATAGTCAAAATTAGTGATCTTATCAGCCAACAATACAGAAATTCAGAGCTAAAAGGGACCTTGGAAATTATTCTGTTTAACATTCTAACGGATGAAGGAACTGAGACTCAGTTAAACATGACCTTCAAAAAGCTAGTAATATTTATAAAACTAGTTTCCTCTTACTTTTAAAGAACAGTTAAATGTATGCCAACCCAAAAGTTTTTGGGAAAAAAATTATACAAAATATGCATTTCAGTTTGGAGGTACATCCTGATTTTCAGAACCTTAAAACGTGAACAAACATGCATTTAGAAATGAGGAAATGCTGTATTTTTCCAAAAGCAGTTATTCTTTAATAGAGTGATTTAAATCAAACTTATTTTCTTCAAGATATGCAAAAAGTGCTGCAATACATATACATGGTACCACGGGAGGCTACACAACCTGAGGGGGAAGTTCTCTGAACCCCAGTAGGCTGAGATGGTCACATTGTTTGGGAAGTTTTGGCTTAAATCAATTACATTTCACAATTTTTAAGAAACTTTCAATTTTTAAAAAAATTAGCACTTGCATATTTCTTAACCACACCCTACTTCACATTCCTTCAAGTCATTTAAATAGACTCCTAGGCATATACCTTAACAAATATATACCTTAACAAGTTAGGAAAAATTTTTCACTATACTCTAAATTTCAGTCCACATGCAGATTTCAGTGGTCTCGATGTCTTTCTACAATTGGTTTTATCTATCTATCTACTATCAAAATACTAAAGAAACGCTAATTATAGACACATACTAACTCTTCAATTTAACTTTTAAAAGACTATATTTTCTTCCTATATTTCAACATGCATCTTTTCTGGTTGTCTCATAATACCTCATTTGCTTTTTATCTATTTCCACCAACAAAGCATTTGCTATACAATGCATATTGCTTACTCTGGTTCCTTTTGGTCCCGGTGGTCCTGGAATTCCATCATCACCCTGAAAAATAAAGTATATTTAGTTCTTTTTCCTTCAAAAATCCCTCAAATAATTAATTTTCCATTATAGGGGATTTAAAGTTTTGTAAACTTTTGTGAAAGTGATAAATTTATACACCCAAACAAGCAGCATTTATTATTAAGACTAAAAGCACTAAGACAAATTATATGACCCAAACTAAGAAAAGTCCTTATTTTACTGAGAAGGAAACTGCTGACATGTATAAGAAACTTTACATCTATAAAATTAAGTATGAATCATGCAAAAATAAAAATGAGATAGCAGTAAAGATAGTCCCCAAATAATTTATGAATAAATAAAATAAGAACTGAAAATCTGGGCAGTTTTCTTATTGTGTAAATCTGCTTGTTATGCTGTTAATAAATAACATCACCTTTGTGCCCAAATATGTGCATTCTTGAGTTTGCTGTTTTAAACCTTTGCTTTGTTTTATAAGGCACTTTTCACTGGCAGAGCTTAAGAGCTTAAGAAGAACAGAGAAAGAACTATAAACTTTCCTTTTCAGATTCTGCTATCTATTCCATGTTAGAGTTTACCCACATGTTTGCTAATCCATTTACCCATTTCTAGTTGCAGCTATATTTAAAATATTATCTCAATATGTTTTATTTACTATTTTTTTTAAAAAATTGAACAAAGAAAACTTAATTCTACTTCACGTAAACTAACACATCCACAGGTTTGGGGAATAAAAATGTGGATATCTTAGGAAGGGAGGCCATTAAAAGCAGAGTATCTCTTTATGATGCTCTGCTTTAAAAAAGTTTAACAATATCTTTCCACAACATGTATTTCTAAGGAGATTAATGTAAATCAACTTACACTTTAAAACAACTAAAATAACTTTTGTTCATTGAATATTTTTATGCATTCCCACTGCAGGTAGAAATAAGGCAAGAATGCTTCAATATTGCACTGATTATACTAACCAACATGGCTAAAGAAGAGGAAGAAATTAGAGGATAAAAATGAGAAAGAATGGGGCTGAGGTTGTAGCTGGTTAGGATGCATGCCTAGCATGTGAAAGCCCTAGGTTCAATACCCAGCATCACATTTTTAAAAAGAAAAAATTTGAAAAGGTGAGTAAAAATTGAGGGTCCACTAGCCCTGTCAGATATAAAAATACACATAAGGCCTTGACTATTGGAAGATTCAGAAGCAAGTCCATATATTCATGCAAATTTGGTATGTCTTACCTTATGTAAGGAGGATACATTCCAAGACCTCCAATACATGCCTGAAAGTGTGGATAGTACTAAACCGTATACATATACTATGTTTTTCCTATATATGCATATCTTTAAAAAAGGTTAATTTACAAATCAGGCACAGTAAGAGATTAGCAATAATTAATAACAAAAAGAACTACTATAAATTATACAACAATAAAAGTTATTTAAAGCTTGTGAATTGTTAATTTCTAATATTTTACATTTAATATTTTTAGACTATGGCTGGCTACAAGTTTTAAACTATGGAGAGTGAAATTGTAGATAAGGGAGGTCTACTGTACCATGAATGTGGTACTGTGAATTAGTGGAGAAAATAATAAAGTTGGGCATTAAATCACAAGTTATCTATCCACCAGGATGAATTTCACATGAGTCAAATATTTACCTGTAGAAAATGAAATAACTAAACTATTAGAAGAAAACACTTGAAAATTATTATATAGTCCTATAGTGGGGAAGACTTTTTCTACTCAAAATCGGTACATATAAAAGAAAAGATATTTGAAAAGCATACCCAGAGAGACACATAAATGCACACACACATGCACATATTCAGCAAAAATAAATTGCCAACTAGAAGAAAATAATGAAACTCACTGTATAGACAAAGAGCAAATCTCCCTAATATATAAATAGTGAAATATGAAAATACCAAAAATCCAGTAGAAAATGAATAGACAGGGCACAAAAAAGAAAAACAATTCTTAGACTCATGAAAAGCATAGAAAGAGAAATGTGAATTAAAAGTACATCAAGAGGTCACTTTTTTATCATATTGACAAAAATTCAAGAGTTTCAAAATAGTGTTGGTGAAACTACAGGGAAACAGATCTTGTACACTGCTGACCAAGGCTAAATCATATTATAAGTTTGGGAAGGGACAATGTGGCAACATTTATAAAAATATATTAAGTTTGTGCATCCTCTGATCCAGCAGTACCACTTCCAGTAAGTTATTTGACAGAGTCAGTCCCTTATTGGTGAAAAGATATCAATGTTTTATTCTATTGTTCCTATACACGCCTACCTTTGGAAAATTAGAAACTACCTAAATCATAATCATAATCCTGGTCATAAATAGGATACTGGTTACTAAATTATGTTTTATATGCACAATGAAATATAATACAGTTAGTAAAAATGAGATTCTATGTATAATGTTTGGTTTTTGTCTTTCACTTAGTATAAATTGCAGCTGTCCTAGGAAAAAACAAAACCAAACATAATACACTACTATTTAAAAACAAAGGTGGATAAAAGTATGTGTATATAACTTAGTAACTAATGAACACAGGTGAGAAAGGAGGGGTTTTTTTCATTGTATACCTTCTTATATTAATTTATCTCAAATGAAGTAAGTACATTGTCTAAATCTAAAAATAACTAAATTTTATGGTTAAGAATAAAGAATTCCTTTAGAAAATAATTTATCTACATATATAAAAATATGCATATGTTTTATATATCTTTACTTTCATAAATAAGAGTGTACCAATAAAGAATAATCTTACAAAATTTTGGACTTTGTATGTATACATTCATACATATATACATAAGTAGCTATGTTGGGGAATATGAAGTTATAAACACAGGAGTACAAACTGCTTCAAATGTAGAATCCTGAATGTTTAAAAAGTTTACCTTCTCATTTTATAGATAACGAAATGAAATCATAAGAAAAGATTGGACTGCTTTCTAAACTTAAACTGCATACAAGCATGTCTCTACAGACTATCATACTATTCAATCCTAGTTAATGCTAAATTATTTTAAAGAAATTCTGACATAACTCTTTTGAATAAAACACAAATATTTTTAAAACAGTTATCTCTCAATAAACATGTGTGCAAGAAACTCAACCCCTAGTCCCAGATAAACTCAGATAGAAGAAATGTAACATTTTCTACAGTTTAACTCAATTTCTATTTCAATGCATTAATTTCCACCACATGGCTGAAATTTATTTCAGTTGACGTGAGTCCCCACCTCACTTAGACACAAGATTTTGCCTATGTTTTGAAGCATTTAAATAGTTAGAGTGTGTTGAGGGGTGGAGGCAGTCTAGTTCAAGCTGAATTTCACTGAAATGTCCCTTGCCAATAGTATGCATGGATTGCTGCTGAATTAATGCTCAATTTCATCATCTTGACTGCTTCAGATTTATCTGCTACTTCTGTGCCCCTCCAGGGTGCATAAGAATCATTCTGCTGCTTGTGCTATTGCTGTGTTATTTGACGTAAGAAATTCAGTTGAATGGCCCATCTACCAAAATTCTATGCAGTCATTTAGGGTCTTGCTGTGTCCTCAGTGCTCAAGGCCCAATCTGGAAATTTAGCACAGGTTCCATCTGGCTCTTGAAACTAACAAAACTACCTCCTCAGATCATAGTGAGCATTCTCCCAACATTCGAATTCTGATATAGTTGAATGTTAGAAAGTATTCAAACATTTAAATTAATTGTCCTCCTTTTTTGGGAGGACAACCTGATGAGTATTCATTTGATTTTCTAAATACTTCAATGATATGATATACCACCAATATATAATATAATCAAATTAGAAAAAAAGGTCTTAAAGCCAATTTTCCTTTCCAGGCAAGTGAACAGAAATGCCCCTTTCATGTGTCACTTAACCAGTCTAGCTAATATAGATGGAACAGGACACTGAGCCAAAAGAGCCATTAAAAACTAAAAGAAAAAAACTCTCAATCTTTAAATTCACTATTATTTCTTCCCACTTTCTATCTTAACATGCACATAAAGACGCTATCCTTGTTCCTGGTACAGGACAAACTTCCCACATTGCTTCAATGGACATAGTTCCCCCAAATGACAGGTTCACAGAATAGCTTGTGTGACTTCCATCTTGCCAAATTCATCGATATGCCTGTCCCAGGTGGTTGTCGCCACTCTGAATTTGACAAAACTGCTGGATGTGTCACCCGCTGCCCAACCCTGTATGTAAATGTTTGATTGCTGTGCTGGTGAATATTACAATGGACATTTCTCTGAACATGGGCCATTTTATTATTTCAGGTACCTCAATCTTATTGCATAGGATATCATTTGTTTCCACAATTGCACTGACACCACAGAAACAAAATGTCTTTTTAGATGTCAAATGCCTCCTGTTCAAAATGGGAGCAACTGAAACATCTGGGACAAAAGATATGGGGTTTATTACTGGAGCCATTTTGGTCGTGAGAGTGGCAGCCTTCTCCATATTACACAAATTTTCCAACTCTATACAAAGACTCTGTCTCCACGGTCTTACATTTCCAGAACTGTGTATATCCCCATTGGGGTATTATTCCTTTTGGAAAAACCAGGCCTTCAACATTCCTACTAATGGGACATGCTCTCCTGGCTGGTCATGTTCTTCTGCAGCAGACTTCATCATCCAGGCCCTTTGGTGCAGACCTCCCTATGGGAGGAGGAAACCCTAACGAGACTTTTTCTGCACGCTGACTCATTACTTTCCCACCCCTATCCTTTCTCCCACCCAGCCCTTTGGTCAATACAATTTCTATATTCTTTGTTATGAACTCTCCCAACAATGAAAGGATTCCCAGCCTTTGTGCACTTGCTGGTGCTGTGCCATGGGGAAAATGGAATAGTTTCTCAGAGCTTTCTCCAGTTTAACTTCTTTCTTACGATAGTGTAGTAAAAGTGTAAAGGCATAACTGCTACTTTAATTTTGGTTTGTTGTCTTAATTAGCTACTCTGATACCTGGCAGCTCATTTCTCTCCAACTCAGCTGAGCTCCCTCAAAGACTTAATTTTTGTTAAGGATCTCAATAACAACATACAATCAACAGCATCTTCCAGAAGAATCTGGACATGACAGTAATGTTCAATTAAGGAAAAACACAATGAAGTATAAACTCCCTACTATTCCATTGTTTAATTTAAATATTACTTTCTTATTATAACTTAGTTACTTTTTAGTTGACTTGAAACCTAGTCTCTTAGTTAGATAAGAATCAATTTAGAAAGTAACACTTATGTACATGGAAACAAAACCAGGAATCTCCCTAGATAGCTATCCTTACCTCAACTAGCAAAAACCCCTGGTCCTCCTTATTAATGTTTATACTCTCTCTTCAACAAAATTAGAGATAAGGGCAAAATAGTATCTGCTTGGAAGTGAGGGGATGGGGACAAAAGGGAGGGGGTGGGGAGAAAGGGAGGGGGCAGGGGGAAGGGGGGAGTAATGACCCAATCAGTGTATGCACATATGAATAACGGAAATAAAAAAAAAGAAACTTAGTCCCACATTTAACATGGCTTAATTTCTCTGATGTTGCTAATTGACAATGTACCTTTTGTCCCTGAGGTCCTGGAGGTCCTTCTGGACCTGGAAATCCAGGCAAACCTGGATGGCCTTTCAAACCTGGAAATCCACGGTCTCCCTGGAATTGAACAAGAATGAAAACTAAGGTCAATTGTAAATTTTTAAGCACAGGAATGGCTGAGATTCAAGCAGATCAAATGACTGTCTCGAAAAAACTAACTTTCTTTGATGATATTAAATTCACAGTATCTAGTAACATGGGGAAACCTGAAAGATGTGATGAGTAAAATACATAAATTTATCCTGAATTTATATCATATGAAGTAATGTAATCTTTGTCTCTAGTAAAATTAAGTATATCACAAATGAAGCGAGAGTTAAACATACTAACATTAGAGTTTAACAGGGAGATAGCAATATTCCCAGGAAGCCAGGTGTATAATGGTTACATTAAATAAATATGGGGCAGGATGAAGAAGGTTAAAAGGAAACAATCAGAGAAGGTCACAGATTAGTGGTAAAGTAAAAGAGCTATAAATTCATTAGCTGATTGGAGTTTAAATTAATTATCTAGAAAAAGCATTTAGAATACCAAAATTTTATAAGATTTTGATTATAAAATTAATACAAAGTGGGAATACATGTTCACTGTGGAAAACAAAAACATACAAGGAAAACACCACCAGTATTTCCTCTACTCAAAGTAATTATTTGAATTGTGATTCATGTCTCAGTACTTGGGAGCAGCATAGACTGGCTGCCTATCTACCAGTAAGGGTCTATCATTTTCTCAGCATCAATAAAATAGTTTTACCTGTTCAAAGCCTACTTCAAAGCCAATGAAGCAAATGTTAACTAATTAATGATAGGTTAAAAACACACCTATAACTTTGAGAACAATTAATACTGACATATTACTATATGTATATATTTTGCATTTTCTATAAATAAATCCCTCTGCTAATTGAATTAGTAATAAAATTGTGATAATTTAATATTCATTAACCTCATCATTATTTTGATGGAAATAGGACAAGAGGGGAGAAATCAAAAGTTTTAAAACTTTTTTGTGTGTTAACCTTGACTCCACCCTCCCTTCACCAAATCAATTATATCTTCTTCAACTTTTATTCTTAGTGTTCAACAGAACAAATACTCAGTAAACATTCAGTCAATGAATTAAGTTCCTTAAGGCTTACACTACAATTTTAGCAAAAATATTTTTAGCAAATATTTTTGCTAAAAATTCAGAAAAATATAAGAATTAGGTTATGAGAAATTATACAAAAGATGAGTTTTGTGATAAGCTAGTTTATTTATTTATTGTGTGGTGCTTGGGATAGAACCCTGGGTCTCATGCATGCTAAGCGAGTACTAGCCATTAGTTTTAAGAAGGATAATAGACTAGCTGAAAAGCAGCCCCTAGTTTTTGAGAATTTAGTGTCATCTGAGGAAACTGTCTAATCCAAGATCATAAGAATTTTCTATTTCCTTCTTAAAGATGTATAGATTTAGAATTTGTATTTATGTCTATGATCCATTTTGCATTAACTTTTACATACAATGAAAGCTAAGGCAAAGTCTATTTTTGTGCTAATGCATATACAGTTTTCCCAGGACCATTTGTTGAGACTATCATTTCTCTACTGAATTGTCTTCACACATTTATCAAAAATCAATGCACCATAATACAACTGAGTATTCTGTTCCATTTATCTATATTTTCATTTGGCTGATAACAATATCTTGTTTACTGTAGTTTTATACTAAGTCTTGGAATTGTGTACTTTAAGTCCTACATCTTTGTTGTTCTTAATTTTAAAAAACTTTAAAATTTTTCTACTTTTGTTGCACTAGGTGTACAAAAACTGTGACATTTACAAAAGTTCTTACAATATATCAGAGTTGAATTCACCCCTCCATCATTCTCCTTAGAATTACTATGTGAATTATAGAATCTGCTTTTTTTTTTTTTTTAGGGATCTGTGGACCCCTAACTAAGTGGCCAGTGGGTTGGATCCCTTAAGTCTCTGGAGAAATGAAAAAATTCCCAGTAAAGCATTGTAACAATGAAGCAATATCAACTCTTCAGTCATTTCAATAGAATAGTTTAAGTTCCCAGCCACTGCAGATTCTATCTAAGAAGGAAATCTTTCCCTTTCTTACAGTTTTCATAAAAGATTGGGTAACAAGACTATTCATATTGATTAAAGCATGTGGGATGATTCTTAGCACTTAATAGGAGCTACCAATGTTTGCTTTCATCCTAATTATTATTGCCCATTAATACACTGTATACAGAGGAAATTTATTTTTAAGTGATCAGGGTTTGGTGTTAAATTATAATGAGTGGTTTGCCAAATTTCTCTGTCTCTCTTATTATCTTTTCTTCCCTTCTTGTTTAAATGCTGGATAGGATATGGGTGTATTATGCAAAAGAAGAAATACTACTGATATTTTAACTCACAGTAGAATCTGCTTTTTAATTTCTATAAAAATACAAGAATTTTGATTGCGGTTGCCTTGAAGCTATAAATAAACTCAGGGGAATTGGCAACTAAGTGGTAGTAAATTTTTCATCATTTGACTATAGAAAAATACAATTGATTTTTATTTATTGATCTTAGTTTATTGATTTTCTTTAGTCCATGATCTCTCTAAACTCAGTTATAAATTTTAGGGGCATTTTGGTGTATGCTCATAGAATTTTCTACATTGACAAATCTTGTAATCAACAAAAAAGACAGTTTTATTCCTCTTTCTCCTGTATGGATGCTCTTTCTTTTCTTACTATTCTAGCAATATTGAACGGAAATGATTAGAGCAGGCATGTTCCTGAATTTAGGAGAAAATAAATCAATCTTTCCCTACAGAGTATAATTTTAGCTACTGGGATTTGGTAGATGGCCCTTAAAGTTGAGGAAATCTCTTCTACTCTTACTTTGCTGAGAAATTTTTTTAACCAGAAATGGATATTGAACTTTGTTAAATGCATTCTCCACATCTACTGAGATAATTATATTGTAGGTTAGTTTATACTTTATAATATTTTTAGTCTTTTAATGTAGTGAATTATATTTTTTGATCTTCAAAGGTTAAAACCAAACATGCATTCTTGTTATAAATCCCACTTGGTCATAATTTATTATTTACTTTACATGTCATTGGTTATAATTTGCTAAAAATTTAAGAATTTCTGCATGTATGCTCATGACATATTGATCTACATAGTTTTCTGGTTTTGTAATTTTGTCTTTGTCTGGTTTTTGGCATCAGGCTGTGCTTGTTTCATACAATTAGTTGGGGGGATATTCCTTGTCCCTTTTTTTCTAAATGAATTTATATAGTCTTCTATATTTTGCCACATATACATCATTTCTAGTGTTTTTCATTCCACCCTATAAATCCACACATCTTTTTAGTGACATTTCCTTTTCACCTGAAGAAATTTCATTGATGCTAGTTAATAATTCTATATATTCCTGGTTGGATGCTTGTCTCATGCCTGTGATCCCGGCTACTCGGAAAGCAAAGATTGGGAGGATTGCTGTCCAAGGCCAGCTTGGGCAAAACAGTAGTGCCCACAACCAATAAGGTGGGCGTGGTGGTCCACACCTGTCATCCCATCTAAGCAAGAAATATAAGTAGAAGAATTGCAGTTCTGGTTTTATACCGTTTAAAATTATCTACTCTTTCTAGTAAGTTCATCATCATTCATGTACTTTTTCCACAGTATTTTTATACAAAGGGTTTTTTAGCTTGCAAGATTTTTTTTTAATAGCTGGTTGTTAGGATGTTCATGATGATGAGCCTATGTGTAGTCTTCTTCGTTTTACCCTGTTTGGGATTATTGAGCTACTTATATCTCTTATTTCACCTACTTATTTTACCTAGTATGGGAATTCTTGCCATTATTACTACCCTATTATTCATTATTCTTTTTGCTCCCCCATTCTTTCTCTCCTGACCTTATGGAACTCTATTTACATTTATTTTAGACTTTTTTATATTGTCATACAAGTCACTGAGGCCCTATTCATTAAAATGTTTTAAAAAATTCCCTGAGTTTCTCAGCTTAGATCATTTCTTGTGACCTAAATCTTTAAGTTCATTGACCCTGTCTTTTGTCATCTCAATTCTGCAGTTATACTCATTGAGAGTTCTCTTCCCTTATATTTTACTTTTTATATGTAGTTTCCAGTACTCTATTGTGACTCCTTACCTGTTCAGCATGAGATTTTTCTTTTTAAAATCAATAAATATATATATCTTATCTGTTTCAAATCTTTGTAAAATCAAGCATCTGTATTATTTTAGAGTTGATTTTCATTGATTGTCCTTTTTCTTAACTGTATGCCATTCTTAGTTGATAAGTTTTACTTGTATACTAGACATTATAGTTAATATGTAGAGATTGAGTTTTCTTACCTTCCTCTAAAGACTGTTAGACTTTTGTTATAAGTTTGCTCAGTTGAACTCAAAACTTAAAATTGTTTTCTTTTCAGTTGACAGCAGTTAAATATATACTTAGTTAATGCAGGCTTCCAGCTATTTCTTTTTGCTATGTTGTAAAAATAGTGCCCAATGTAGATAAATCTCAGGATTTAGCCAAAAATTTGCATTGAATCTTCAAGCATAGTTTTAGGCTCTCCACTCTGTATCTCCTTCCATTCCAACATATTTTATCTTATTTTCCAGTCCTTCTGGAATCCACAACTCTTTTTTCCTGGTTTCTGAACCCACTATGACTAGCCATCCTTGGTCATGCTGCCTGAGTGATCTACTTAGTAGAAAAATATAAATGTAAATTCACCCAGAATAATTCCTTTCTGTTAAGGGTAGAATCCTCTCCACTTTCTTCCTTTGTTCACTTTCTGTGTTATTCAAATAGCTGCTATATTTTGTCTAGATTGTTTAATTCTTATCTCTAGATGAGTTAATTTGATAAACGTCACTCCACTATTATCTGAAATGAACCCTGTAGTCTTGGCGGGGGTAGTACTAGGGTCTGAACTCAGGGCTTCACGCTTGCTAGGCAGCAACTCAACCCTTTTGTGCTTTAGTTGATTTTTAGATAGTTTCTGCCTAGGGCCAGCTTAGATCCATCAGCCTCCTACCTATGCCTCCTGCATTGCTGTGATTACAGATGTATGCCACAACACCTGGTTTATTTGCTGTGATGGGGTCTTGCTAACTTTTTGCACAGGCTGGCCTTGAACTGCAATCTTCCCTGATATTCACTTCCCAAGTAAGTAGAATTGCAGATGTGCTCCATTTCATCTGGCCGCTAGTAGTCCTTTTTACCACTACATAAAGCACCTTTATTGCAAAACTACCCCCTCCAACTAATATTACTCACACAAGTGTTCTATAGAACATTGTTCAGTTAATAACAGGTGTTCTGTTAGGGGGATAGTGGGTCATAGAAACAAACTATTGCAAAATAAACAAGTGGATCACTGTTCCAGTTTACTTTCTCTTTAATATGCTAATGAATCTTCTATATTCCTAAGAGAATATGCCCTTAGAGATATGGTCCCAATTTTTTCATATACCTTTAGTAACATTCATTCATTTATTCATTCAAAAATCTTTATTGAATTCCAAAGAGTAGAGACTAGAGTATGACACTAGTATAATTCTCTTTAGATTATAATTCACTATACTTTTAATTTTCTAATAGTGATGTCAGTCACTGAGCAAGAGTAGCTAGGTTTAGGCTATTTTATCCTACCTAATACTTAATTTGTAATCATCATATGTATACACTAGTAGGTGTTACTGTGGGAAAAGTAGATAAAAATAAACATTCATTACACATACTAGATAAAAATACATGAAATTGCTTATCACAGTATCCAGCACAGATTAGCAGCTTGATAAATGTTTAGTTTCCTTCTTAAGTGGTTCCTCCCACTTTTTGCCTATTAAATCAGTAACTTTAACAAGATTGATAAAAGATTGGAAGATTACAGCTCTCAGGCCAAATGCAGTCAAAGATTTTTTGTGTGTGATCCAAGGGCTAAGATTTTTTGGTCACTTTTAAAGGGGCATTAAAAAAAAAAAAGAAAAAGAAGGAAGGATTGGGAATGTGGCTCAAGTGGTAGTGAGCCTGGTTAGCAATCTTGAGGCCCTGAATCCAACTCCCAGTACCACAAAAAAAAAAGTGAAAGAGTTGGGAAATGTAGCTCAGTAATAGAGTACTTGCCCAGTTGCCTAGTAGCAATACCCTGTTTCATCCCTAGAACCACAGGGGAAAAAAAAAGAAAAGCAATGTTACAGAGGCCTTATATATACCATAAAACCTACAATATTTACTGTATAGCCTTTTGCATAAAATGTTTGCTGATCCCTAAGATATAGTCTAATATTTCTAAGTTATCAAATAAGCAATATAGAAGAATTCATTTTATTTACTTATGTGCTGAATAGAAGCTCTGCTTTTCAAAAAATGTATTAAAGCAGTATTTTATTGGTTTTACCCAGTTTGCAAAGGCCCTTCTCAGATCTTACCTTTTCCCCTTTTACACCACTACAGTCACACTTTGATCCTGGAGAGCACCCATAGCAAGTCTGTAAGGAAGAGAAAGAGGGGAAAATCATTAAATACAAACTTAAAAGCCAGACTCTGACTTAGATCTCAACTGAATTCAGCAATCCAAACTTGTAAAACTAACACTGGAAAAATATCTGAAAGGATATATATACAAATGGAAAGCAACAAAAATTTTTATTACATAAAAACTTTAACCTTTTATTATATATATTTCTGTTTGAACTTTTCACCATGAGTAAATGTAAATTTTATAATGTTAAACTGATAGATATCTTTTAAGAAAGATACTACAAATGAAAAAGAAATTCATATAATTTCCTGGTTTATACGATTTGCCACTTTTACAAACTCTAGGAACTCCTTTCTTTTTCTCATAACATCACTTATAACAAATAACTTCTCAATCTGCAATTACCAATGACCTTGGCAACTAGCCAAGGACTGTTACCATTTGAAGTCAAACTTGCTTCTCTGCATTCATGAGCAACCATGAAGCATAAAACACATAAAACTGTATTTTTCCACCTTTCTTCTCTTTGTCTCTACTCCCTTACCACTAGCAGTAGCTCAGTGTCTAACACCCCCAAAGCTTTACCACAAATGTTGCTGCCATAGTCTGGATGTTCTAAATAGCCACTGCTAACAAATTCATTCACTCATAGTGGGAACTGAAGTCCTGAAGTCAGGAAAATACCTTCCTCCAAAATAAATAGTATATGACTTCTGCCATCCAGTACTATCCTCTACTCTGGCATGAAGCTGAACTGCTTAGAAAAACAAATAGCAATTCGTGCAGCATATGTAGCAGCTTAGTATTTATGTACAAGAAGGTAGCACACTTTTTGAAAAATACATAACCAGACTCACTTACTAAGATCTTTATGTAGTGTAAATACCAAATAATGTTCATTCAGTGTTCAACCTTGAGAACCTGTGACTATAAAAAAAGACCCTATCCTCCTGTCCAACAGTCTATGTTTTCCTTTCTCTAGTCCTTATCAAAGTACCTTCCTGAGTCCCTATCAATTCACTGAGCTGAAACTGAAACCTCTTTTCCTGATTATATGGCTTGATGTTGGAGGAATCTCACTCACACTGCAAGGGACTGTTGCAATAAAAGAAGTACTCTTCACACTTCAAATTGTAAGTCTTCTCTGCAGCCAGTATTTATTATACATAGGTGATTAGGTTAAACCCTCTAATTAGTGTTATAACTTAACTACATTAGAGATCAAACAGGCTTATTCAGGTATACACAGTCTTCAAAAATGAAGTATTATTAGAGCTCAAAAAACATGTAAAGCACTAGAGATACAAAGATGATTAAGACCAACTCCCTCTAACATATACAACTAATTCAACAAATACTTACTGATCGCCTGTTATGTGTCAGCCACTGTTAAGTTAGATGCAAGGAGAGATACAGTAGATCTTTGCTCATCAATGGAACGGATGAACCCATATACAAAAAACTACATTACAATGTGCCAGAAGCAGGGGTTAACTTAAAGTATGTAATATTGTTTTGTGCAAAGATAAATGATTGATTCCAAACTATGAAATTACAAAAATTAGAAGCCTATGATTCACAAGAAGGTACTGACTTTCACATAATGGGATGTGTCAATGGTTATAATCACTGAGTTAGATTGTGCATACCATCAGCACTCAGTTACATGCATTAATAGAAAGACAAAGGGTATTACTAGTCCAAAATTGCTATTAATGTCACAATAATGTTTGACTTTGGAATGAACACCTGCATTTTATATGTGAATATATGTGCATAGGATTTTGTTGTAAGCTGTAGAATATGGTGTAATTTTAGACCTTCAGCCTTTATTAAGAGATCTTTTAAATACAAATTAAAGATTCTGAAAATAATACAAAGCAATGAACTAGCAGGATTTCACTAATATGGACTACAAACTATGTGTTGTAATTGTATTTTTCATTTATCAATACCTAGTAATAGCCCTTAACTTCTAATATAACTTATAAACAAACAAAACCTTTTAAGTTCTTGAATATCATTTTTCAAGGTGTTTTACGTAATCTTTTACTTTTAAAAATATTTTTCTTAAAAATTAGTGATTTCATACTTTTATACTTCTTTGTCAATGTGAAGATTATTTTAGAGATAAAACTACTTAAAATATTTGAAAATTACAGATAATTTTGTTTGAATTAAATTTAAAAATTTAAGTTATATTCTATTTACCCATGGGTTAAAACAACAAAACAAAACAAAAATCAGGTCATTGTAATACACACACCAACCACTAGATGCCACTTTCTATACAGTTATAACAGTGGGAGCTACATGGAAATAGCCCTAATTAGACACCTGGTTAATGGAGCAACAAGGTTTTGTTTTGTTGTTTTCTTTAAAACAATACCTATTAACATTGATCAGGTACATAATAAGCACAAAGCATCATATTATGTCTATGAGCTACAAAAAATATGTAGCTATGGATGCTGCCTTTAAGGAACTTCCAATCTAGTTAAAAGAAAAAAAAACTAGGCATAAACAAATGCAAATAAAATTAAAATAGAGTGGGATAATGATAAGGCAATGGGAATGAGAAAAGTACTAACATACAAGATAGATTCCCTGAGTTTATTTCATCAGTTGAATCATTAGGAGATAATGAGCAAGTCATTCCCATATTCTAGGCTATCTTCTCATTTGTAAAATGACAGACATGAACAACATGATCTCCTTAGGTAGCTTCATGCTTTCACTGTCTGTAATTCTGTAGGATTCACTAAGCAATAACAAATGTTATCAGAGTTAAGAAAGACAATTCCCTGAGTCTAAGACTATTAATAAAGGCTTGTAGAGAAGATGAATACTTGGACTTTAATTTGAAAGAACATTCAGAGAGCTATGTAGGGGCAAAATGGCTATGCTAAGCACCAAGGTTAAAAGGAAAAATTGCTTGAGATGGAGTCAGATAAAATGAACATCATGTGTCTCCATTTAAAAGGCTTCCTAGGTACAGTAGCAGATAAAGCCAAAGAAGCCAGTCTTTTCCTTTTAGACATTAGAGTAGAGAAAACTAAATCCAAAGCCAAGAGAAGGAAGTAAGAAAGATCTGAACTAGAATTAACAAAATGGAAAACAGAAAAATGGAGATAATAAAACTAAAAGTTGCTTCTTAGAAAAGGGCAACAAAAAAATTAAAAACATCAAGGAAAAAGAAAAGACTCAAATTACTAAAATCAAGAATGAAAGCAGGGACATTGCCAAGGTAGGAAGAACAGGAAACTGTGTCAACTTGATTAAGGACATCTACAAAACACCCAGAGCTAACATCACACATAATGATGAAAGGCTAAATAATTTTTCTATGAGAACAGGAATAAGACAAAGACGTCCATTCTGTTACTTTTTTCTCCTGCCTCTCCAGGGAAATTAGACAAGGATGTGAACCATTCATATTAAAAAGGAAGAAGCAAACTTATTTATTTTTGCATAAAGCATAGTCTTATTTCTAGATATTCTTATTAGAGCTAATAAACAAGTACAGTAAGGTTATAGGATGTAATATCAATATACAAAATTCAATTGTATTTCTATGTACTCTCATGAAATTAAGTGATAAATCCATTTAAAACAGAATGAAAAAGAATAAAATTCTTAGGAATAAATTTAAGAAAAGAAATTCAAAACATATACCACGAAAATTACAAAACATTGTTGAAATAATGTAGAGAATACCTAAATAAATTGAAAAACATCCAATGTTCATGAATCAGAACACCATGTATTACTAATAATAGAGTTAAAATTGTAATCCCCATATTTTTCTGCAGGACCAAGGCAATCCTTATAAAAATTCCAATTGTCTTTTCAATTTGCCTATATAAACAAGCTGATACTAAAATTAATGTGGAACTCATGTAATTGCAAAAAAATTCCACAAGCCAAAACAATATTGAAAAAGAAGAATAAAAAGCTTACTATAAACCTATTCATACCAGAGCAGTGCTAGTATGAGACATACAGGTCAATGGAATAGAACTGAGTCATTTATCTATGGTAAACTTATTTTCTTAAAGGTGCCAAAGACATTTCACTAGGGGGAGGAAATAGTCTTGTCAAGGAATGAACTTGGACTTCACACTATAAACTAGAATTAACTTAAAATGGATAACAGACTGAAGAGCTAAAGCTGTAAAAATCTTAAAACACTGAAGTACATATTCCTGATATTTGTTTAGTCAAAGCTTTCTTAGACATGACACCACAAGCACAAGTGCCAAAAAAATAATTCTTAAAAATTTCATCCGAATAGCAAGGGCTTGAGTTTAAAACTCAGTATCACAACAAAGGGGCTGGAGGTGTGGGTCAAGTGGTAGAGTGCCTGCCTAAGTAAGTGCAAGGTCCTGAGTTCAAGTCCCAATACTGCAAAAGTAAATAAATATCAAAATTTTAAAATCATCAAAATATGAAAGGGAAAAAGAATCTTCATGCAATGTTAGTGGAAATTTAAATCAGTCCAGCAACTGTGGAAATCAGTATAGAAGTCTTCAAAGAACAAAAAATAGAACTAACATATGATTCTGGTATTCCACTTATGGGTACACATCCAAGAATGTAAGGCAGCATACAATAGAAATACCTGCACATCCATGTTTACTGCAGCACTATTCACAATAGCCAAGACACGGAATCAGTCTAGATGCCCATAAATCTGATGAATGAATAAAAATGTAGCATACATACACAATAGAATAATTATTTAGACAAAAAGATATGTAAGTGTCCAATGAGGACATGCAAAGATGCTCAATATAATTAGCCACCAGGTAAATGCAAATCAAATGCACAATGAGTCCGGCGCCAGTGGTTCACACCTGTAATCCCAGCTACTCAGAAGAGAGAAATCAGGAGGACCATGGTTCAAAGCCAGCCTAGGCAAATAGTTCACGAGACCCTATCTTAAAAAACCCAACACAGAAAAGGACTGGTGGAGTGGCTCAAGGTGTAGGCCCTGAGTTCAAGCCCCAGTAATGCCAAAACAAAACAAAAAAAAAGCACAGTGAGCTACCTCTTCACACATACTATAGCTATAATTAAAATGGACAAAAAGTGTTATTGAGGATGTGGAAAAACTGGAATCCTCATGTATTGCTCAACCACTTTAGAAAATAGTTTGGAAGTTCCTCAAACAATTAAACACATGCCCTATCTGTTCTACTCTTCAGTATTTACCCAAGCTAAATACAGACATGTCCATACAAAAACTTGTACACAACTTATATATAATATCATTATTTGTAATAGTTGGCCACTTCAAGAAAGTGTAAAACAACCCAAATGTCCATCATCTGAGGAAGTGATAAACAAAATACAGTATACACATCCAGGGAAGTATTATTGGGCAAAAAAAAGGAATGAAGTACTGTTTCATGTTACAATATGCATGAACCCTGAAACATTACACTGTGTAAAGATGCCATACACAAAATAACCACCTGC